GCGGCGCAGTGCTCATTTTGCCGACAGGGCAGGCACATAGCGAAGAATTGGTCGACAACAGCACCGTGCACGAGTACATCCGCAAGAACCACGACGCGTGGTATCGGCTAGCTGTGGACCGAGCAAAGTTGGTGGTAAAGAAGGAGGGAATCATTTTCGTCAGCGGCTGGATGAAGACGTCGAAGTGGACCGTCGCTGCATTCACCGAAGGAGGAAAGGGAGGGAAACTCTCGTTCGGCGGGGGGTTAGGTTCGTTCGTGTCTGGATCCTTCACTCTCAAGGGCTCGAAGGATGTCTCGGCACCTCTACATCAGAAGTCAGGACCCATTCACAGCAATAATGGGCGGCCTCGCAAAGAGCACAAAGCTGACCAGTGTATTTTTCTGCACTACTATGTCTTGAAGGTCAGGATGAAAGGTATTCTCCCGCAGCTGCTTCCAAGATCGCTCAAGGCCTCTGCTGAACCCCAAGCCCCATCCCGTCGGTCGGAAGATATGGATGACGAACATCCTGGTTCTAGTTGGGGTACTGCCGTCCCCGCGTTCGATGAAAATAACGACACCATCCTTGAGGAGGTACCTGGCGTGGGCTCCGTAGTATGTAGTCGATCGCAGAGGCAGATAATCCTCATTGACAATGTTTCCCGTAGTGCTATGACCCCTTGGACAGCATTCTGCATTATATTCTCAAAGTGCGCTGCGATGTCCATTCGCTCTCAGATGCCCTACATCTCTCATATTCGTGCGTATACTCGGCTCTCTGTTTTAGAATTCTACTGCAGAGGTAGCCGTTTCCGGGACCAAGACCCTCGATGTCTTGCGGAAGGTTGGTCACAGATATCAAGTGCGGCTCTGGAGGCTTACCACTAGTTTTAGGATTCTCCCCGCCAGAACATATTCCATGTTCTCGAGACTTCTCGCCCACAGATTAGAGTGGATGGACATGGGTGTGAGTTTTCCCCATCGTATAGTAGCTTTATGGCGCTCAAACGATACAGTGGGCACGTTGTCTGTTGCTTCCGAGCTTTCTCTGGAGCCAAATACAGACATAGGTGTCGCGTCATCGGAAGGAAAACCTGAAAATATCCCTGTGCAATGGCCAAAACTTTTACCGGGGGTATGTCCATAGGTACCTGTATATTAACCTTCTAGGCTGACTAACTAAAGACGTCGAACACCGAGTCGAGCTCTGCTATTGTTAGTAAAGATACCGATGTCTTGTACGCGCTTAGGTTAGTCGGACATGGAGGTGCATCAAGACGCTCGTCGCGGACACCAGAACGAAGGTCTCCGCGCTCCCACTCATCTGGCTATGCCTCTGCCGCAAGTAGTCCGAGACATAGTCAACTTAATTTGCGAAAGGATGTCTTCGACCCCCGGAAGCGATGTGAGCGTACTCTTTCGGCTTGCGTCTTAGCCTGTATACTGGACTGACATGGGATGGTGCAGTCCGATGCGCCGTTTTCTCCGTGATGGCTGTCAATCGGATGTCGACGCTGGCGGGAGTTGGTCTGATACATTAATCAGAATTTCTGGGTGCTGGGATCATCCGTCTTCCCTCTATAGATGCGCGTTGCCAGATAGGGCGCTACCTTGGCGTGCACGCTCGGGATTGTAATACTGTCATTACCTTCCCGAGACGGCTTGCTTGTGTGACTCTTTGCACTCGCCGAAATTCACCGTTCAGTGCGGGTGAAAATCTCGAATGATGCGGCGGTCTGTTTTTCTTTTAAACTGTAATGGTGCTTGTGTCAGTAATGCTATAGCGGTATTGCGCTCGCAGCACAGCACCATCTGTGAGAAACTCCCCATCATCCCGGGGAGTCTGGTTCGTGCGTTGTGTCGCTGTAGGGCGTCAGGATGGCTGGCATGCGTCAGGATGCGAGCGGCGAGCTCGGGAGGGAACTTGACTGGCGAGAACACTGTGTCGAGGTGCGCTTGTACATCAGTGAAGTCAGAAGCCGACCCTGATTGGTCACTTTGGCGGGGCGTGGCCCGTGGTGGCGAGTGGGCGTGTCCAGATGGTCGGGGCGACTGCTCCATATTTCACGCGAAACGCAGCTGCAAACGTTGCCCTGTATATCATGTTGGCAAAGCGAAGAGACTTATGGTCCATACATACCTGCAGTCGCACTGTGCCATTGCAGCCTCGCTAGCTGGCGAGGAGAGAGTACGCGACCCAGACCTCTAGACATCGCGTCAGGACCGACTGCCGTCACGATGGAAACGGTGACCGTTTAGGGCAATTGAGGTCGGAGAGTATGTTCGTGCACTGGCAGTCCGAGTCGAGAAGCAAGGAGCCTAGAATGCCAGGATGAATGAACCTGCACCGGTGAATATCTGCAGAGTCGCTCTCAGCTTTAGACACTTCAACTTCTTGTGACTCTCAGCTATGTAGACTTCAAGCATGAGTCGCATTTTCTATGCATCCTGTTGCTCTGCAATGTGTTTTGTGGATCAGTTTGGCTTTCGTCAAGGCTATCTGGTAGTTAGCTATGTGCACGGATCCCCGTGTATGCAGAGATAATCTTAGTCTAAGAAATGACCGGGCTGATTTGCTGAATACTCGAGCTTGGACAGGTGTCTTTGACGGTCAACTGTCTTGAACCAAACAAGTTCGCTAGTATTTTTGGCCTCCATCTCCACCCAAGCAGATGCTGATGCGTCTTGGCCCCTTCCAGAGATTTATTAGTATTCGAAGTGAGACCGTAACTGATATCATCGAAGCGTGCACTGGACAACATCTGGGGACTTGGATTCATTTGATATATGGAACATTCTCTGCCATTACAAATCCGGGGTATCTTACAGCAATACGCATAAAGATGCAGAATCGCGTTTTTCCTCCTCTGTGCTCCACACCAGGACCCCAGGGCTGCATTAGATGCCACGCCTGCGTCGGTGCGCAGTGTTCTCATGTCAACGCCGCGGCACTTTTGGTGAGGGAGAGAAGGGGAGAGGTTAGGGTTAGATCGCTCTCGTCCCTTGCTGTCCAGGGAAGTCTTAGTACATGTCTTTCTGCTGATGCTTGTTGACTTCTCTGCGAGTTCGGTTTCGCCGACTGTGCTCGCTCGTGTCCACTGACCGCGAGTGATTGAGAGCGTCTCCTCTCCCTTTTATATCTCTCTCTTGCCGATGTATTTCGATATATAGGATACAAACTGCTTGTATTGCTTCTGTGCTGGTGCATTTTGTAGTCCTACTTTAGCCTTCTCAGTCGAGGTGATCTCAATCATCAATGTCATCTGCAGGGGGAGGTTCGGCAAATACCGGCGCTTGCTATCTCTTTCAGTCTCTCGTCCGAGTCTGCGCATTGAACCAGCTCTCTTTTAACTCAATACTGTCTTTTGCTTGGCCCCCAACGAAGCCTTGCACTTGATTAGAGCAGCATGTTTCAGGAAATGTACAAGAAAAGTCCCGCGGTGTCGCCACGAGGGCACTGCGCACAAACGCAGGCATGATATCTAATGCATCCTAGAAGGGAAAGCAGCCCTGGGGTCCTAGTGTAGAGCCCGAAAATTCGAAGAACGCCGCTCCACATCTTCCTGCACCTTGCTGTAATCGTTCTCTTCTCTGATTTATCGGATGCGGTACGTTGTTGACTGGCTCGATGAACGAGCAAGTTGTGACCTTGGAAAAAGTCATCACTCACAGCTTGTCGTGACTAAGATCAGGAAATGCTGTCGCTATGCTATCTCACCGCCTGTATGCTAGAGGTAATTATATTCATAGTATTCACATATTCAGAGATGGTGCCAAGAAAGAGATAAATTTGACCATGATCCGGCAAGCACGTTCGAATGGAAGCATATATCCTCCGTACGTGGTTAAAGTTGCGATAAACAAGATGACTACGTTGTGGTGTGGAGTCCTCAGACATGGATTGGCTAGCCTAATATCGTTTGACCGGGTATCTTCCGAGGCGATGACTTTCACAGGCTTGCGAGCGACATAAAATCTAGCACTCCTTGTGAGATATGCTCGCCTGAGGATTCCAGCCTCTCACTTTCATTCTCACACATCTGAACCAACATGGTTGACCCTAGCATTGATGTTGTCAGCATCGCAAACCCTATATTCATTGGAATGCTGTTCTTCTTCCTGTACGTCACTGGTGAAAGTCGTGCTTCTTTTCTGAGCGGTAGCTGACAATGTTATGCGTAGTATATACGGAGGCACTATTGTGCAGACTGTATATTACCTACTGAACTACTCTGACGATCGCCTTTCATTAAAATTTTTGGTACGACATTTGAGTGACTTCGAGAGTATAATGGAAATTTGTTGAATAGAATCTCTTCTCGCAGGTCGCAGGTCTATCGTTCGTCTGATATTATTTCAATTGAATTTATAAATAAACTGTTACACTAGCCTTCTTGATACTGTAAAGGCATTTGTGGATGGGAAGGTGTGTCGAGACGCACGGTAATATTTTTCCAATGCATTGACTTCGGAACAGATGTTCTGGTTCTATCTGATCCAGAATCACGGAAATAAAATTGGGGTATCTGCTGTCACACCGTAAGCGGCATATCTAAATCCTCCATTCAGGTGGACATATAATGGGAGAGAGATCCCATGCTGATCGATTTGTAGATGGGTCGGTGTACGTGTCAAATCAACTTACGTGCAATCGATAAACTCATCCCTGTCATGTTCTTTTTAGGTCCAGAATATACTTTCAGTGCGTTCTGTGCCCTTCTGGTTTAGTGCATAAATTTATCCAATGGATTATATGAAGTGTTTCACAGTGCTGGCTGTCCAAGGGTATGTTTGAGACTTGAAGTTTGACCTGGCAATTATTCAATGATGTACTTATAATCATTAGATTTTATCTTTATATCATCTATACCCGTATGTTTCTTATTCATTTTAGATACCACCCAATTGACTAGCCAATGCTTAAGTTCTCGGAACACGGATATGGTATCGGACACATCTAGCAGTGATCGGAGTCCTACTTTCGTTAGTCCCCTTTGGTATGTTGTGCATCATGTCTATGGACTACTGAGCTGACTCTATTACTTGTTAAAAGTAGCCAACATAGGCGAGTGGTCTGACTATATGCTCATTAAATGATCTCAATTGATGCAAATGCCGGAATAGCCGTAGTATATGAATTGTACGTGTCGATGGGTGATGAGACTATCCATGCTCCATACTGACAATAAATTGCAGATATGCCAGGACGGACGTCAACAACAGTATAAGGCATGTTGTGGTACGTTCTAGCATGCAACTACGATTTCTTTTTGTTAATACCTCGATCAGTCCGCAGGACTTGTTCAAGCAATTACTCCACTTGTGGCCGACATCTACATCGCTGTGATTTTATCATGGAGTTTTCACCGCTCAAAAACAGGACATAAAATGTAAGCCAGACTGAGAAACACAAACTTACCGAAACAAGCTGACGATGCGAAAATTTAGCACGGGGGGTCTCCTCTCAAGACTCACTGTTTATGCTGTCAATCGTGGGATTATCCTTTGGTTAGTACAATTTTATGACCTACTAAAGCATTGGGTTAAGAACATGGGCTTTAAGTATTTTACAGGCCGGTATTCTTGGCATAGTGGGTGTAACAGACCCTTGATGATAAATTGAATAATCACAGCGGATGCGCCAGTTTGTCTACGGAGTACGAACTTTAGCCGATACTGGTCTCGAAGATGCAAACTTCACATGCATACTTTACCTTCCACAGAGCTTGGGTATGTGTCATGATTTTTTGGATTATATCATGCTTTCTGAGCATGCGTGTATACACAGTTTATTGCAACAGTCTCCTTATAACGTAAGGTCTATGTGCTCTTCACGTCTACCTTACACCGATCCTTACACAGGCTGAATGTCCGTAAACACATAAGATCGCGCTGGACGGTAAACATCTGGAATGGGCGATCACGCACTCCGACCATTCCAAGTGATCCACTTTCAGAGGCGACACTTACCTCTTGTTCTACATGACCATTTAATCGAACTCTATGACTTGATCCTCATGCTTATGAAGCCATATGCAGGAGAAATTCGATGTACGTACTGGTACTTACCGAAGCTTTACTTCTCTCAGATGGTGTTATATCTGCGAAATTTCCGGTACGACTGTAATAGTCAAACACGTCCCAAGCGATCGGGAAGATACCCTTCCAGTCAAGCCACCCATCTCCTCCGCTTATTAGTGTGCAGACGATATGCGTATCGTTTCATTAATTAAGAGTTATGGTAGTGCCCAAAAGCGATGCCAGCTTGTCATCTTCAGCATAAACGATCCTCTCAGGATGATCATCTGACGGCCAGACCCCTCAACGATGCTAAGCAGACATGACGGTGCGTCTCGACCTGGGAGGGCTGCACAATCAAAACGACGTCGCAATAGTATATCGCTTTCCTTGCTGTCTTCATGCCGGCTGGGGTTCGGCAAGAGGTCGTGGGACTGTATGAGATGTTTGTCCACAGTGTCAGAGGATAGCCCGAGAAGCCAGTCAGGCTATGTGGTGAAGAGCTAGGATGCGGGCGGCGAGTTCAGGAGGGAACTTGAGTGGCGAGAACACCATGTCGAGGTACGCTTAGAGATCAGTGAAGTCAGAAGCAGACCCTGACTGGTCACTTTGGCGGGGCGTGTCCAGATGGTCAGGGGGACTGCTCCATATTTCACGCGAAACGCAGCTGCAAACGTTGCCCTGTACATCATGTTAGCAAAGTGAAGAGACTTATTATCATATGTACCTGCAGTCGTACTGTGCCATTGCAGCCTCGCTAGCTGGCGAGATGCCTGTAAAGTCGCTCTCAGCTTCGGACAGCTAGCGCTAATTCCTGCTTAAGTATGCATGCGTGTGGCTATTGGGGTGGTTCACGGCTCTGCTCACGGCCATCAGGAAGAGGGGCAAGGATCTCCAGCTCCCGGTGAATTATCGTGCGGTCGGGCTGGGGAGCTGTTTGCTGAACGCACTCACCATGATGACTGAGCGACGCGCACGAGAGCGAGCCGAAACGAAGGGATGCATACCTAGTACGCAAAATGGTTTTCGCGCGGGTTATTGAACCAACAACAACGCGTTCGTGCTGCGTTGTGCAATTGAGAAGGCTCGTGCAGCACACCGCCCGCTCTACGTCGCCTTTGTCGACTTGTCCAACGCCTTCCCCTCTGTCGACTTGGCCACACTGAGGGCTGAGCTGAGCGGCATGGGTTTTGCCGGACCCCTCCCTGACTGGCTCTGGATGCTGTACGCGCAAATCCGGTACATTATGTGTGCAGGGGGGGACCTTTCCGACTGGCTTGTCGCGCGTGCGGAAATCCTGATTGGTCATCATCAGAAATATTATTTTATTGCTCGTCTTCGACCTCTTCCTCAGGGGGTGCGTCTTCGGACATCTGAAATGCTGTAGGGGGTTTCTCAGCAGGCGGAACGGTCGTTGAACCCGCCATTGAACCCACAGTCCGCCACGGAAACTAAGCGTGACTGGAGGATTAGAAACAGGCAAGGGGGGAGCCTCAGCCTAGCCTCAACTGGGCGCTGGGCCGCCCCCCAGCGGTCTAAGCTTCTTCATGAAAACGTAGTACGTCAACAAACGCGGTTTGTGAAAATGTAAAAATGAACTTACCTCTTGCCCTTTTCTTCTCTTTCTTCTCCTTCGCCGCTGTGGCTGTCGGCTGCATGGGCTCCTTGACCTCGAATTCGAGGACGACTGCTATGGAAGCTTCGTCCCAGTATCTCACCCACGCTGCTACCGCCGTCGGCGGCTGATCGGGCGCTTGTCTGCAGATAGTATCGATATGAGGCGTCTATTATATACCTCCGTCCTGACTTTTCTAACGTGCCCCGGCTCGAAGATTTCCAGGAAAGAGACATGACTACCGCCGCGCAGCCTTTCGCATCCACACTCGATGTGCTAGCAAGAATACTTCCGGCGCATCTGCTGAAGCCACGCGCGGCCATTGTGTGCGGATCCGGGCTGTCGACTCTAGCGTCGAGCCTGCGCGAGGTGGTCGAGGTGCCTTATTCTGCCCTGGAAGGATTCGGGAAGAGTACAGGTTCGCAGGCCGCGTGCTGATACCATAGACATTGACTCACTCGCTGCGGCAGTTGCTGGGCACAAGAGCGCACTGGCATTCGGGCTGCTTGGACCTGGGACGGGGGTGCCGGTGGTGGCCATGCTGGGACGGGTAAGGGCCTGTCCGCATGATCTGTACCGTCTGCCTGACGCAGAACCAGCCAGTTCCACGCATATGAGGGTCATCCGCTGGCGACGGTCACGTACCCCATCAGGCTCTTTGCGAGGCTCGGCGTGCAGAACATCATCAGTGCGTACTCCCGCTGTCGCCGCACGACTTGGCTGATGATGCCGTCCAGTCACTAACGCCGCCGGGGCATTGAACCCAGCCCTCCCGGTGGGCACAAGTGCGTCCGCTCTCGCTCTCTGCATGCCGTGTCCTGACAACCCGTTGTTCAGTTGTCACCATCCACGACCATATTGCGCTGCCAAACCTCACCGGGCCTCTCAACGCGCTCTTTGGGCCGCTCAGGTCGCCTGACCATCCGCGCTTCCTGCCGCTGTCTGATGCGTACTCGTCGAAGCTGCGTCGGCTTGCGTTCCTCGCTGCGCACCGTCTCTCCCTGCCAGACTCGGCGCTCGCGGAGGGCACATATGCCTGGGTGTCGGGCCCGTCGTACGAGACGCCGGCAGAAGGCCGCTTTCTGCGGGCGGCGGGGGCAGACGTTGTGGGCATGAGCACGGTCCCGGAGGTGCTGGCTGCGCGGGAGGAAGGGATGGCGGTGCTCGTGCTGAGTTTAGTCACGAACGCTGTTGTGATTCCGGAGCGGTACAGGAGCATCAAGGAAGAGGTGAAGGCGGAGGTGCGTGCGCCATCTATGTGCCCGCGCGCGCCCGACTGACGGATGTGATGCAGCTGGCGGGGCAGACAGTCGAGCAGCCGCCTGCGGCGGTCGTATCACATGAAGAAGTGCTCGCTGTGGGAAAGCAGAAGGCGGAGGTGATGCGGAATCTCGTTGCGCAGATCATTGAACTGCTCGACTAGTGCTTATTACGATTCCTTGTACGTAGAATGCTCTCACTTGTACACCGGCCATTAGTGTTCACAGACCGCTGCAGACTCCTCGCATCTTAGCGAACCCCTAGGCCACGAGATGCGGCGCGTCTTTGAAATAAACCAACCGTGTATTCCATCCCTTCGCGCTTGGCGTGGATTCGACGCCTGAGCCGGCCTGCTCGGATTCTGCTCGTTTGAGCCCACCTCGAAGCGCTCCGCACGTTGAGATAAGCCAAACGCGCTCCACGCCCCCGGACGTCAAATCGTCAGCGGTCTCTGCGCGTCCCCGGGCTGACGCGTGCAAATGGTACTGTTTGCTGCTGCGTCGGGCCATGTATCGCCACAGGCTGTCTCCCGCTGTGTCGCGGCAGTCTCGCCCTCGTTGCGGTTTTAAAATGTGTAAAAATACAGCGGAGGCAAAAAAGAAAACGATGCCAAACAGATTCCGTGAGAGGCGCGCCGCTTCACTGTGCGGTGTGTTCCTGTGTTTGTCAGGCTTGCTCCGGACATTCTGCGATGGTTATCTCTATTGCTCCCCCTGTCCGGACCGACAATTCTGTGAATCGGATGAATCAGACAGAAGACAGAGGCTGAACTGTCTGAGGCGAGAGAAAGCGGTTTAACTGGCCAAAGCCGCGGCGTGATCTCGCCTTCCTGATCCGGCCAACTTCCATATATGGCGTCAGCCATGTGGCGGCTAGCCGGCGCGTAGCAGGTTAAATACTCGCTCTCGCCAGGCTTCAGTCGGCCGCTTCGCCTGGCCTTGTCCCGTCTGCGCTTGCTGTCTCTCGCGTTTCTGTTGCTTGACCACAGGCAATCTTCGAGACTTGCATCGCTCGCTCTTGTCCCACCAGAGCCCCCGCCAGCGGAGCAGCCAGCACCTTGCACGAGGCAAGCACTTGTCGAGTCCCAGACGTCATACTCGTACCTGGACTGTGGTGCTCTTGAGCAAGCATCTTTCTGAGCGACCAACTCCCCATCTTTCCCGCCGTACTTTCCAGTCTCTGGCTTGAGGTGAGTTGGGTTCCAGTTTCTGTGTCGCACAAGTGACCCAACGCGTGGGTGGCGTGAACCCCAAGTGCAGCGTGTGGAAGATACCAACGGTCTCGTCGTCTGTGATCAACGCATCTTGTTGACTATGCTGACATTGCGCTTGTCCAGCAACCCATCGCTCGCCTTTCAACCTCCCTCAACTAGTCCATGCTTCAAACCTCTGTTATTCAACCCATAGACCATTTAATTGCTCACTCTTCTCTTGTATCTCACCATGCTCATTTATCTGCTTCCTGCTGAGCCTCATCCGCGTCTTTATCACGCCGTGAATTTCTCAGACCCGTATGAACGTGTCGCGCTCCCCACCGGCTGGGCGGCACAGTTGCACTCTATTCATGCTGACGAGCTTGACCCACCCACCGCCATCCACGCTCTGGACAAGTCGAGCTGGTTGACCGCCGTGATCGAGGAACTCGTATTCGACCTCGTTTCTCTCACTGTCTCCTGCTCATTCGTGAACGGGCCCACCATCCAGTGGCCTATGGACACCGACGACGCGTGTATGCATATGCTCGCCGACGTACTTGCAGACCTGGCCCAGTCAAAAGTCGAGTCTGATAGGGAACGCCTTACTGTTTCCCCCAAGGAAGAACCTGCTGCGCTTCCTCAACCGGTGTCCGTCAAGCCAGCGAAGCACAAGAAACAGCGTTCGATCTTGTCTTCTCTCATTTCGAGCTTCAACAAGCTCAGCCTCTCTTCCTCTCACGACGGTATGCCTAGCTCGGTCTCCCCGTCCCGGCCATCATTTTTGCCACCCCCATCGCCTCGTTTCCGCCCGTCGACTATCTCATGGAAGCCTACCGTGGCGTTTCTCCCACCGTCAAAGAAAATGCCGTTACCGGCAGCACCATCTCGCCCACTCTCGGCGCTGCTACAGGCGCGTGCGCGCTCTGCACTAGTGGACGCGTTCCGCCAGTTTGTGGTTCCGGTTCTTCGAGGGCGCTTTGACTTGCGGCCCGGAGGTTACTCGACGTGGGCCGCACGCGTTATGCTGCGCCGTACAGAGGACCACATGGCGTGGCTAGTGCAGGAGTCGGGAGGCGTGGTTCCGAATATCATGGACACGATGCCGCCTTTCAGCCGCAACGCTACTTCTTCTGGACTGTCCGGATCGACACTTACCTCTATCACCGACGCGTCGTTCTATGTTGATGACGACCTCGAGGGTGGCGGCGACCAGCAGTCCCTCACAGATAGCGCAAGCACCGAAACAGATGGGTCCTCCGTGCATACACCTGTAGACTCCCCCTCTACACCGTTCGGTCACATTTCCCGGTCAAACACGGACACTCATCGGTCTGCCCAGTCTGTTCCTCGCTCACCGTCACCTCCAGAATTCTCACCGGAGGACCTTGCGACATATACATCGCTATCCTCTCAATGTGTGCGCCTCCGTCACATGCTTTCACGTATGGAGGCCACACGAATGGATGCAGAGCAGGACGAGCGCAGTTACCTTGCTGTCTTGGAGGTGAAGAGTCGTCGGCGGGCGTGGTCTAACAGAGATTACTTGGGTGGGGCGGGTATGGACGGGATGGGTTTGGCCTTGCCATTCCGGAGCTCGCCGCTCGCTCGGTGCGATTCCGTCACGCCGGATTGTCTTATTAACCATCTCGAAGTTACGACGGGCGACCACAACATCTCGACACTGTTTCCGGTTAGCGAGGAGGACGAGGAGGATGAGGAGGCGTCCATTGGACTGGTGCCAGATGCCGCACTATGCGATTTGGAAAGCGGACTGCTTCCGCCCTTGCAGCGTCCGTCCATGCGTCCGAGGACGCGTAGCATGCGCGCGCTCCACGCACTTGAAGCCGACATGACCTTCAGCATGGACGCGCCGACGCTTATGATTCCGTCTCCTTCGCCGCTCCTGCGCAAACCGACACCAATGTCGGCGGCCCAATCGTTACCGCCATCGGCGCTGCTCTTCCAGCCACTGAAGAAGCCCATGTTGGAGTCTCAGACGAAATTCGAGCTGTTCGATACCATGGAGCACGATGACGAGGACGCTGCTGCACCCGAGTTTACCCTTTCAATGGACCTGCCTCCCCCGTATGCGAGGATCGGTGATCATGGTCAAGACGGATGGATAGGCGTTCATGGCGTTGTTCGGTGATCATTGTTTTCATAGCTTTGTTGCATCTTTCATTTGTTGTCGATATCATGGGACTTTGGGTGTCTGAACCCTACTTGGATCTTGGTCACGCATCTGGTATATCCCGTTTATTTGCAATGTCTTCTCCCGCCTCCTCCCTCATCCATGGACTCTATGACCTACTTGCAGTTTGCATGCTGCCCTCAGGTTCGCATTCGTTTCGCACCCGCCCCGATATGCATTGTCGTCCTCACCCCCTGCATTTCCACATTAATACTTCATGGTTATGGTACCTACTGCACGTCGACACTACTCTCGCGCATCTACTAAACCTAAACTGCATTCGTACGGCATCTGCATACACCACCTACAGCATCAATATAATGATTTGTTGATAATAATGTGTTTGTTGATGCCTATCTCCCAAAAACATGCTTCTCTAACATGCTCATGTGGATTACGCCGCCATCACGCGCGTCTTCATTTCCCAAAATAGCACGGAAGCAATGTACGCGGGACTTGATACACGTGATTTCCGACAACTTTAAGGCCAAGCGGCTCCAACGAGCTTCAATTCCCGACCAGCGCATTTATATTCACTTCCTTTACACACTCTTGAGGGGCTGCCCGCCGATGATGCCCAACTCTTCAGCAGATGTCTTTGGTGAGATTGTATATATTATCGAGAACGCACAGCAATTTTGGTCAGGTGCGCGTCCAGCTTCTGGAGCCGAAGGTTTTCCCTCATCTCTGTAGAATTGGAGGACATCCTGCACATTCCCGACGGGCTTACTCTGGATCAACTCGACGCCATCTTGAGGCGGTTCATTTCCTTTTGTGCGGCATATCATGGCGAGTGGCACCTTAGTCTGAGTCGAGCGTACCAGTAGCTGAAGACCATGTCCGTTTCAGAGCAGTATCTCCAGAGTCCATTGCAAATGGAGCACTCCTGCGAATTGTTGCTGACCTCGGAGCTATTTACATTTCACTCGGAACGCATGTCCGAGATCTTGATAGAAGACACTCGTCAGGTACGTGTCCTCGTGTGACGTTGGTGCTGAGCCTGACTTTGCTTTATATGCCGCAGGCGACCGATCCGCATGTTCAGTTCATCTTGTATAGCGTCCTCTTGAATCACGGACGACGGAGTGCAAACTTCCTCCGGTCCCAGAAGCGCTGGCAACCCATCCTCCCGCTGCTCATGGACAATATTACGGTGGATGTGGATCCAGACGTGGAGGACACGTATTTCGGATCGACTTCTGGGACAAGCTCGGGCGTGCAGAGGTCGATGGCGGTCCCGATTGAGGCGAAGCTAAGGTCGCTGTCCGTTCGTCTGTTGTATGATGTGTGCAGGGTGCAGAAGTTGTCGATCGAAGATTTGGGTGAGTTTGTCAAATTCTCATTTCAAGCGCCCTTCTTCATCTGCTCGCAGAAATCTTCTCGGACATCTTCATCGACTATCTGTTCGACTTGGTCGAGCAGACAAGACATATGCAGGACGAGTCATTCAACTATTCAGTCATCAAGTTGCTTGTGAGACCGCATCCCAAATGTTCCATGAATTTCATTAATTTTGAGCAGGTAGCCTTAAATGAACAATTCATGGTGGCCTCTCTACATCCTCATGCTCCACGAAACGATGTCAAACCGCATCCAGCACATGCGGGGCATGCGGGACATAAGACCCCCGAGAAGATTGAAGGGCAGAATCGCATACTGCGGGTGCTGAAGACACGCATAGGATCGAGCATGACGTTTGGGGAGAACATGATATTTATGTTGAATCGCGCAGGTATGAGCGGTGCTCGGACAAATTACCAGCGTGCTGATCTCGCGATGCAGATAGGACTGCGGAAGATCTATGCATGCAACTGCTCGTCTTGAAACTACTGTATCTTCTATTCACCTCTAAGGGAATGGCTGAATATTTCTATACCAATGACCTGTGCGTCTTGGTCGATGTCGTTTTGCGCGAAATAGGCAACATCGACGAAGATAACGAATCGGTTAGTGTGATGACATCTGCGTGTCAATGCTTGACATAATATTTTCTTCACAGTTACGACATACCTACCTGCGTGTTTTACATCCACTGCTGACCAAAACACAGCTACGCTCGATGCCCTACAAGCGTGCTCAAGTTGTGCGGACACTTGAGCTGCTCGTTGAAAACGAGAGCATACGTGATGTTGATCCCACCACTAAGCGACTGGTTGCGCGCTGCCTTTCCGGTGACTGGTGTGTACAATTCCGCAAGACCCTGGATGTACCCAATCGTGTCGATAGTCCGGGTTTGTCTGGTGTCACCTCTCCGCATAGCGTAAGCTCTGTCACGGCGATGCAGATAGACAGGCTCAGGTCGGGTTCTATTCGAGGAAAAAATTACAAGGCCAGTCGCAGCGTGGAGAATCTTGCGAGCAGTGCAAATATTGGCAGGGCGCGCGGACCCGGGCAAACTCGCAATGCCGAAGTACCTAGACAGCCCAGCGCCGATAGCGCGGGTAGTCTTCCCAAACTTGCAACAGCAAGTTCACCCACAAATGCACCTCGACGACGGGACCGTGCAGGCTCAATGGATGGCGATGGAATGACCAGTAATTTTGCGTCGCTGTCGCTGCATGATCGAAAACACGTCGTCATACCAGACACGGTGCCCCTCACGGCAGAGCCGATTAGGAGCCCCCCTCTCTCTAACATCCGAGTCGATGCTCCGATGTCCCCTACCGATCCACCAGATTCGCCGATGTCCCTCATATCCTCGTCGTCTTCATCTACCCTCGGTTCAAAACCACGGAGGTCAGCGCCGGCACCTCCGACCAAACGACGAAAACCGCCTGCGGTGCCCGCCGGTCGGGTTCCCATGTCGCCGATGTCTGCTGCTGCCTCCCAGCCCTCCTTGACTTCGTTTTTGCCCGCGAGGCGCTAGCTGGCAGGCTAGATTTTGTGCGTGAACACTTAAATTGCCGCCATTCATAATCTACATACAGCCTTCGCGTCAATATTTGCATATAATCGGCCCTAACGCTCTTCACGATTTCCCCTGGATTTGAATTTTCTTAGCATCTCTATACAGACATCCTCGCAATTTTGTATTTTAGTACTCGTCAGTAAACACATCGTTAGCATTGAGACTCTTTGGTGAGCGGCTATCTTGTGTGGCTGCTCGCGCGATCTACATAACGTGCGCGCGAGTTTCGACGCGTCGTCGACGTATTGCGGTTGGTGCTCTGCTGTGTCCTTGTTGCATTTGGCTGCTAGGAACCTCTAGATTGCTTTCCTCCTTACATTCGGTCGCAGGCAACTCGCTCAGAATGAACAAACTCAAAAGGCCACATCCCCCAGCACAGAACAATGGCCCCAGCAAACCCCCACTACAATCTGCCATCCACGCTACGTCTTACTCGCTACCTGAGAGCAGAACCATGATGTATGCGCGAGCCGTCGTGCCTGCACCCACTGTCAAAGTGACGACCACTGTGCCCCCAATACCTGCGATCTCGGCTGCTGCACGCCCTTCGTCCGTGACGGAGCAGTACTGGGCAGCCCGCGCGTTGACTGCCGAAACCCTGCTTTCTGCTCGCATCGCCCATCAGACCGAAATTCTGGAGCTGGCCACGTCGGCGGAGGAGAAGCGTTCGGTACGTGGTCTCGCAAGTGCTGATGTTGGTGACACCGTGTGTATGACTTTGCTCCTCGGCAGCAAGAGCTGTTGGCACTGAGACGTACACACGATGAGAGGCATGCCAGGCTCGAGATGCTTGTGGTAAGCAGTGGTCTTGGCGACTCGCAGCTGTTGACTTTGGCGCTCACTATGCCGACACCATTAGGTTGCGCTCATCGCATGTCTGGTTGCGTTTGTCTGTGCGATTATGTACATGCACGTTCGGAGTCTGGACCAAAGGGCGTCCCGCTGGTCTGTACCAACACATTTCACAATCCCCATCCTATCTCCCTTCGCTTCGGTCGTGAGTTCATCGCCATGCGTGCCTACTACATTGCTGAACACGGTACAATAGGTTGAACATGAAACCTCCGTCATAGGCAACAGGCTGCTTGCTGTTGGGGCTGCAATTTTTGCGATCCTCGCGTATGCTTGTTTTCGTTTTTGGCTCTCACACAAAGTAAGATCGTGAGGCGCCGTCTGTGTGCATGGGACCTCTTCACGCGCTTTAAGATTGGATCCGTCGTCCCTGGTGCCCTGGTAGAGGGGAGGCAGGTGAAGGCATGCCGGTCATGTGGGGTTCGTCTCCAGGATCTGGCCGATATCCCTCCGCGCAGCCCTTTTGAGTTCTGCCGCAAGAGCGCATGGTGTCAGTATCCATGAGCATGGACACGAGGCTCTGAGAAGGGGTACTTATGACCCCTGTTGTCGCAGAGAGGGGTGGTAAGGTAATCGTTCTACAAATGCGATGTTCCGGCGCCCATGCCCAAGCCTGAGGGTGTTGGACAGGTCTGATGGGCGCATCTCTTTGCGGATATCACAGTAGGGCGCCCTTACGGTCGCCAGATCCGCCCGAAGTGATGGAACCAGACTCGAAGCGCCTTGCTATCGATGCTTGTGCCCGAGTCTTAGTGTGTTTTGCCGATGATCGCAAGCTGACATTCATTTGGACCACTGCCTACTGTACGTCTTCTGGCGACAACTGATCCCCCAAATTGGCTTGTGTGCGCCCTAGAAATCACCATCAAATTATGCAGCTCACTTTCACTACGCTCGATGTTTTTACTTCAACGCGTTATGCAGGCAATCCGCTCGCCATAATCGATGTCCCTTCTACAGTCTCTCTCACCGACACACAAAAGCATCACATTTCGCGCGAATTCAATCTCTCTGAGACGGTATTCATCCATCATCCCCCCACGCACGAGGCTGTGGATACGATCAGGGTTAGCATATGGACAACAGAGCAAGAGCTTCCTTTTGCTGGCCACCCCAGCATCGGCGCAGCGTGGTATCTCCTCACCCCACGCGTGGGGTCCGGTTCGACGGGAAACGTCATGCTCAACATTCCTGCAGGTCTCCTTGCAGCTACATACTCGTCCCCGAACGATCTTGCATCTGTCGTGGTGCCGCATGATGTCAAGATCCATAGTCCTTATGTTCACACCGGCAAGATGGCCGAATGGCTTGGGCTCACACCGGCTGATCTCGCGCTGGAAGATGCCTCAAAAGGCGTCCCGCTCGTCTCAATCGTGAAGGGTATGACGTTCCTGCTCGTCCGTGTGAACGACTTGGAAGCACTTGGTCGCATTCATGCGGTAGGCGAGCGATTCGTCGTGAATGACGGTGTGGATAGGGACGAGTCTCGGGCATGGCTGGTCGGGAGCTTCGTTGGGGTGTACTGCTATGTCCTGGAGAGCGAGATTGATAGAACACAACGGTTACGAACGAGGATGCTCGAGGGCACGTTTGAAGACCCTGCGACGGGCAGCGCTGCGTGCACCCTCTCCGTGTACCTTGCGAACGGCATTGGGTCAACCACATTTGAGATAGTCCAGGGCGTGGAGATGGGTCGTAGAAGCGAGATCATGGTGGAGGTGACTCGGACGGATGCGCGCATTGAGGAAGTCCGTCTTGCTGGGCGGGCAGTGAAAGTCATGGCAGGCTCCTTGGACGTATAGCTTACTCTCGGTTTCTCAGATAATATGACACGAGAACATGGAATTTATCGCGCTGTAGTCGAGTGTGCGCCTGACCATCGCTTAAGGCTCAGTATTGGAGATATCGATCATTTAATATTTAAGCCTTGCCGGCGTCTTGCCTAATTCACATTTTGTCTCTCTTCAAGACTCCCGCCATGTCCTCTTCCACCAGCCCCAGAAAGCGACAACGCGTTATTGACGAAGAAGAAAAAGTACTGGCATTTATTAACCATCCAACCCTCTATTTTGACGATGGCAACATTATATTAAGCTGCGGAAGCACTCTATTTCGCGTGCATCGCTCCATTTTATCCAAGCATTCGTCTGTCTTTCGGACGATGCTTGACCCTGAAGTAGATGTCAAGCGCGAATACATGCGGGGCTTCGTACACGTTGCTTTAGATGACACCAAGGATGATATTGAGGCGCTTTTGAACGTGATCTACAATGGCTTGTGAGTGCTGCCTATATGCGCGAGTCTTCGCCAGACTTGATTCATCTGCAGACGGATTGACTTTCCCGAGCTGACTGTCGAGAACTTCACTGTCCTCTCCGGCATTTTTCGCATGAGCTCCAAGTACAAAATCGACCGTCCACGTACAGACATCATCGATCGCATTCAACAAGAATGGCCGTGCTTGCTCGAGCAGCACGACGCTAAATACGAGGCCTTTCGCAAGCGCTATGAGCAGACTTCTTCTCATATCTCGCAAGGTGGGCAACTTGTGCCCAATCCTCACTACGACTTTGCAGTAGCCGCAGCCGCTGGTGAAGATATCGTCGTACATCCCGCGAGCGTAATCGCACTTCTGCGCGAAGGAGGCTGCAATACACCTTCCATCCTCGCGCCACTGTTTTATGCACTTAGCTGTGACACCTGGCAGTTTGGCGGACCCGCGGTGGGCCACCATATTGCGCCCCTGGCGCTCACAGACATAGAGCGATTCATCGTTGGATTGGAACGTCTCCGCGCCACGCATGCTGCGTACGCTGTCCAGGGACCGACGTTTGGTATCCCTGCATCCCATGTGCCTGTGTGTTCCCCTGGTATTCGGAGCTACTGGGCGGAAGTGTCGAAGGCGCTGTTGCAGAGAACAACTGGATCTCGCCGACCCATTGAGGACTGGAAAGATGTGATCGCTATAGCGAATCAAGAGGGAGGGTTTACCGCATACGGTGTTTGCCCAGAGTGTTCTGCAGCAGCGATCAGAAACATGAAAAGTATACGACAACAGCTCTGGAGACAACTTCCTACTTTCTTTCAGCTGATGTGAAATGGGCATATTCGTTTTCGGTATCCCGAATGCTATCACCATACTTTTCACCACGCTAACATCATATACTTTGGTGGCATCATTGCAGGTCTAGGCGATGAATGTCAGTGACTCTTCCACTAGCGAATTAGTAGCTTCCCAGAGATCGGCTACCTACCCTCAGAGATATCTTACGGGGTTATAATCACTGTAGGTTTCCATAAACAGCGCCTGGTATTGGTATTTCAAAGTCTTGCTACCCCCATGGCGTACATGTCGTTGAACGTCAGCAGTCGTGACCATGTACTTATTCTTGGTGGCTCACTCAGTGAGTTACTGCAAACATGGGTGGGAGATGTGCAGCGCCACAGACAGATTGTGACTTGGTTCGATTGATCCGAGTGACCATGTCAGACTGTTCAAACAACGGGCAATGACGTCCGCCCGGTGCACTGCAATTTGTAAGTGTAGCGTACTGTATCTGTCCCAATGCAGCTTTGGTTTCAGGCTCAATTCTTAAGCGCGCAAGAGTGTCCGACGTCAAGGCGCCGTTGGAGCGTCCATGAGGGACAGCACCAGAACTGTTCTCAGGCGGTCGGAGCAGCGGCATCGGCTGATGAAAGGCAGAAGAAACATATGACCGACGATGAGGCAAGGAGGTATAGATAAGTTCTGGCTGTCGTGGTGAACGTTGTCATGTCGGCCTAGGGCCTAATAACGCTCTAGCTTGACTCTCGTGCCAAGGACGGACAAAGCCCGTATACTTAATTGCAAATTAAAATCTAGCTGCCTTATTGCAGAGTATAGGTCATAATTCAGACTCCGCGCGGGGGCTCCTTCACGATCTGGCGCCCATTTTGAAGCGGCGAACCAAGGTGGATTCAGTCACGGTGCGCTAGTCGCCTGCCCTTCGCTCTGCGGCTGGGAAGCGTCACCTCTCTTTTCTCCCACCGGCCCTCTCCACGACCACGACGACGAGCTACCCCATCGTCCGCAATGGCTAGTCGTCCTGGTGCAAGGAGCCAGGAAGGCATGTATGTCTCCTCGTCTCCCCCCTCCTCCGACCCCCACGACCCCTTCAGCAATGCCCAGGCGACCGACTCCAGATACTACGATAACGACTCCGACAACTATGGTCGCCGGGACACCTATCTGTCGGATAGTAGCAACAACGGCGTGAATGACGATGATCGCTACTATGGCTCGTACGACCCCTACGGTAAGACCGTCTTGCTTATCACACTGCCGTGATTTTTCTACAACAACTCTTCTTTAGGCCCACAGCCTGATACTGACTCCGAGGTGGACGTGTATGGTGCAAAGTACGCCCCATCTGCCGAGTCCTTGGGCCCGCCTCGCATGGGCGTGTCTGAAGCATCAACTCCAACTTTTGGCGACCCAAACGGGGCATCTAGCGCTCGTGAACCCTACCCATCCTGGAGTTCCGAACGACAGATCCCTTTGTCAAAGGAAGAGATTGAGGATATTTTTTTGGACCTTACGCAGAAGTTCGGATTCCAGCGTGATTCAATGCGAAACATGGTGGGTCTTTGGCGCCTTTTTTGCACAATTGTGTTGATTTCCTGACGGGGCGCTCCGTTCAGTTCGACTTTACGATGCACTTATTGGACAGTCGAGCCTCGCGCATGTCGCCAAATCAGGCGCTGCTGACCCTTCATGCGGATTACATCGGTGGCCAGCACGCTAACTACCGAAAGTGGTACTTTGCGGCACAGCTGGACCTTGATGACGCCGTGGGGCAAGTACAGAATCCGGGCTTCCAGCGGCTCAAATCGGTCAAGAAGACTGGTGGGAAACCGAAGAGTGCGCCTGAGAAGTCTCTCAACAGTGCAATGGACCGATGGCGTCAAGCAATGAACAATATGAGCCAGTACGACCGCATGCGCCAGATTGCGCTGTGGCTATTGTGCTGGGGAGAAGCGGCGCAAGTCCGCTTCGTTCCTGAGTGTCTATGTTTCATCTTCAAGTGCGCTGACGACTACTACCGATCGCCCGAGTGTCAAAACCGAGTAGATTCGGTGCCTGAGGGGTTATATCTCCGTTCGGTCGTGAAGCCTTTGTACAGATTCATCCGGGACCAAGGGTACGAAGTTGTCGACGGCAAATTTGTGCGGAGGGAGCGCGATCACGAAAGCATAATTGGGTATGACGATGTGAACCAGCTGTTTTGGTACCCCGAGGGTATCGCTCGCATTGTGCTGAATGACAAGGTATGAGTGTTGGTCATGCATAGTCGATATTTCACTGACGTTATGCATATCGTAGACACGACTGGTCGACTTGCCGCCAGCGCAACGGTTTATGAAGTTCGACAGGGTCGACTGGAACCGAGCCTTCTTCAAGACGTACTACGAGAAACGTTCATTCGGGCATCTGCTAGTCAACTTCAATCGTGTCTGGGTTATCCACATCGCGATGTACTTCTTCTACACAGCATACAACTCGCCTACCATCTACAACGGTGACAACAGGCCTGCCATGAGGTGGTCTGCGACAGCGCTGGGAGGTGCGGTGGCCACAGGAATTATGATTTGCGCTACTCTTGCCGAGTTCTCGTATATTCCTACAACATGGAATAACACATCACATCTTACTCGACGTCTCCTGTTTTTGCTTGTCACTTTGGCTCTCACTGGCGGTCCCACCATCTACGTTGCGATTGCAGAAAGCACCAATTCCGGCACGTCATTAGCGTTGATTCTCGGTATTGTCCAGTTCTTCATCTCGGTTGTCGCAACTCTCTTGTTTGCGGTCCTCCCGTCCGGCAGGATGTTCGGTGATCGTGTTGCAGGTAAATCGCGCAAGTATCTTGCCAGTCAGACTTTCACCGCGAGCTATCCTGCGCTAAAGCACTCGGCACGACTGTCATCCATTCTCCTTTGGATCCTCATTTTTGGCTGCAAGCTCACGGAATCGTATTTCTTCCTCACGGCGTCATTCCGGAATCCAATCCGTGTTATGGTTGGTATGAAGATCCAGAACTGCAACGACAAGTACTTCGGCAACGCTCTCTGTAGGAACCAGGCGGCATTCACATTGACAATCATGTATCTCATGGATCTGATCCTGTTCTTCCTGGATACTTTCTTATGGTGGATTGTATGGAACACTGTCTTCAGTATCGCGCGCTCATTCGCTCTCGGTCTATCTATTTGGACGCCATGGAAAGATATATATACCAGGTTGCCTAAGAGAATCTATGCGAAATTGCTTGCGACCTCAGATATGGAGACGAAGTACAAGCCGAAGGTGGATATTTTCTAATGTTTACGAACGCTGATCTAACTTATTGTGCTCCAGGTATTGGTATCTCAGATCTGGAACGCCATTATTATCTCGATGTATCGTGAACACCTTTTATCGATTGATCACGTCCAGAAGCTCCTTTATCACCAAGTTGATGTCGGTCAGGATGGTCGTCGCAGCTTGCGTGCCCCGCCATTCTTCATCTCTCAGAATGATAAAGGATTCAAAGGGGAATTCTTCACCCCTGGTTCTGAAGCAGAGCGCCGCATTTCGTTCTTCGCCCAATCGCTCACTACGGCTGTTCCGGAGCCCCTCCCTGTTGACGCCATGCCTACTTTCACGGTCCTTACCCCTCATTATAGTGAGAAGGTTAGTTGACGGTTTTAGTGCGAGAAAGTTTATTGACGGGTTTTTCTCCTTAGATTTTGTTGTCACTGAGGGAAATTATCAGAGAGGAAGATCAGAACACTCGCGTTACTCTTTTGGAATACCTGAAGCAGTTGCATCCGGTTGAATGGGATAACTTCGTGAAGGACACCAAGATTCTCGCGGAAGAGTCGACGATGTACAGTGGCCCCAATCCCTTCGGTTCAGACGAGAAAGGTCAATCTAAGACGGATGATCTTCCCTTCTATTGTATCGGCTTCAAGAGCGCCGCCCCAGAGTTCACACTTCGGACACGAATTTGGGCCTCGCTCCGGGCACAGACTTTGTATCGCACAGTTTCCGGTATGATGAACTATGCCAAAGCGATCAAATTGCTCTACCGAGTCGAAAATCCTGAGGTCGTTCAGCTTTTCGGAGGCAACACCGACAAGCTTGAGCGCGAATTGGAGCGCATGGCCCGTCGCAAGTTCAAGTTCGTTGTCTCGATGCAGCGTTACTCCAAGTTCAATCGAGAGGAGCAAGAGAATGCCGAGTTCCTTCTCCGTGCATACCCCGACCTTCAGATCGCATACCTGGAGGAGCAGCCCGCGCGCAAAGAAGGCGGCGAGGTCCGACTATTCTCTGCTCTAATCGATGGTCACTCCGAGTTCATTCCTGAAACTGGTCGTCGACGGCCAAAATTCCGCATCGAGCTTCCCGGTAATCCTATCCTGGGTGATGGAAAATCAGATAACCAGAACCATGCTATTATCTTCTACCGCGGCGAGTATTTGCAGCTCATTGATGCCAACCAGGACAACTATTTAGAGGAGTGTCTCAAGATTCGCAATGTTCTTGGCGAGTTCGAGGAGTATTCGGTGTCGAATCAAAGCCCGTACGCTCAATGGGGCCACAAGGAGTTCAAACGGACTCCAGTCGCTATAGTCGGTGCGCGCGAGTATATCTTCTCAGAGAACATCGGTATTCTTGGTGATCTCGCTGCGGGTAAGGAGCAAACTTTCGGTACCTTGACGGCGCGATCGCTGGCATGGATTGGTGGCAAGCTACACTATGGTCACCCAGATTTCCTCAACGCGATCTACATGAACACTCGTGGTGGTATCTCGAAAGCGCAAAAGGGCCTTCACTTGAACGAAGATATCTACGCTGGCATGAACGCGTTTGGTCGTGGTGGTCGCATCAAGCACACGGAGTACTACCAGTGCGGAAAGGGTCGTGATCTTGGATTCGGCACCATCTTGAATTTCCAGACGAAGATTGGTACCGGAATGGGCGAGCAAATGCTGAGTCGAGAGTACTACTATCTTGGTACACAGCTTCCCATTGATCGCTTCCTGACATTCTACTATGGTCATCCTGGGTTCCATATCCACAATATGCTTGTCATCTTGTCGGTGCAGGTGTTCATCACGACCAGTAAGTGTTAGCATTCTTTCAAGTCGCGGAACGCATTGACTCAGTGATTGTCTAGTGCTCTACTTGGGTACTCTCAGGAATCAGTTAACTATTTGCCAGTACAATTCGGCTGGCCAGTTCATCGGCACTCCCGGCTGCTACAACTTGACACCTGTATTCCAATGGATCAACCGTTGTATAATCAGCATCTTCTTGGTGTTCCTGATTGCGTATCTCCCTCTCTTCCTCCAAGGTGGGTAGTCACACGCTTGGCATGACGTAGGTTTTCTGACTGCTCTCACAGAGCTCGTGGAACGTGGAACGTGGAAAGCGATTCTTCGATTGAGCAAGCATTTCATGTCATTGTCCCCCGCTTTTGAGGTGTTCGCGACCCGAATTTCTTCTCACTCGATCGCCAGCAACCTGACATTCGGTGGTGCACGGTACATTGCCACTGGTCGTGGTTTTGCAACGACGAGAATATCGTTCAGTATCCTATACTCCCGATTCGCCGGTCCAAGTATTTACCTCGGTATGAGGTTATTGGTCATGTTGCTATATGTGACCATCACCTTATTCACCGGATGGGTGGTCTATTTCTGGGTCACCGTCCTCGCTCTCTGCGTTGCGCCATTCCTTTTCAATCCTCACCAGTTCTCTGCGGCAGACTTCATTGTTGACTACAGGTAAGAGCTATCGGACAGCTGTGTGATTCTCCGATCTCACAATCTCTGCTTTTAGGGAGTTCTTGCGATGGATGAACCGTGGCAACTCCCGCGTTCACCAAAATTCATGGATCGGTTACTGTCGATTGTCACGAACGATGATCACTGGATATAAGAAGAAAAAGCTGGGCCATCCTTCGGAGAAGTTGTCCGGTGATGTCCCTCGTGCTGGCTGGCGCGCCGTCATATACTCTGAGGTTGTTTTCCCAGTCGTCATGGCTGTCCTCATGGTTGTCGCCTATATGTTCGTGAAGTCATTCCCCGTCAACGGCCTTCAACCACCGAGCCCGCTCATTCGTATTGCGATTGTATCTCTTGGCCCTATTGTCTGGAATGCTGCAGTTTTGCTTGTCCAGTTCATGATCTCCTTATTCTTGGGACCTCTATTGGACACTCCATACCCGAAATTTGGCTCAGTAATGGCGTTCGTGGCACATTCCCTAGGTGTCATTGGCATGATTGGATTCTTTGAATTTTTGGTACGTTTTTGGCCTTCTCTCACTGCAGTTATGCTCATCCTGTACGTTCAGTGGTTCCTCGAGTCATGGAATGTTGCGCATGCCGTCCTTGGTCTCATCGCTGTGATTTACATACAGCGCGCCATCCACAAAGTGCTCATTTCGGTGTTCCTCTCCCGAGAATTCAAACATGACGAGACGAACCGAGCTTGGTGGACGGGTAAATGGTATGGCCGCGGTCTGGGATCACACGCCATCTCGCAACCTGCCCGCGAATTCATTGTCAAGACTATCGAATTATCACTGTGGAGTTCTGATTTCCTCACTGGACATTTTCTCCTCCTCATCCTTACTCCACCTATATTGATACCTTACGTTGATCGTGCCCATTCGACAATGCTTTGTACGTTCAGTATGTTCTTTTTGAGATTGCTTGCTGACGCATTGGCTGCAGTCTGGCTCCGCCCTTCGAAACAGATTCGAGCACCTCTGTACTCGATCAAACAGAAGCGTCAGCGTCGATGGATCATTATCAAATACGGCACTCTTTACGTATTGGCCATCGCCTGCATAGCAGCACTAATTGCCATTCGTGAGTATCTGCATAATGTTTTGATGCTCATGCTAACACTTGCCTAGCGCTCGTTTTCCGCGAAGAGCTGCGGATCAGCTGTAGCATCTGCCAGCGAGTTTGAGTGGACGATCATTTACCCCCTAATACGACATCATACCATAGATTAGTTGCACTTGTACGCTTTTTGCCTTCGTTGTACGTGATGGACTTTGCGTTAGCTCTCATACGGAGACGGACATTTATGCCTCGCGAAGTGTCTTATACACTTGGTAGTCACGCCAAATACTAAACGAACGAACATTTACTCCTATTGGATGTTGAATTAGGATTGTTATTGCCTTGACTGCAAGGTAAGTGCAGATCTGACGATTCATCTTGTGGCAGAGTCATAATCGGCGTGGTAGGCAACATTTCCTAACCCGTACTACGGGTCAACAAGCGACGTCGCTTCATCTCAGCGATTCTCTGGAGCAGAGACGAAGCCATATACTTCAGCCACTAACGCAATGATTCAAACTGCGTCTAGGGGAGGTAAGAGGAGGCGCGGTCCTCGAGTGACACGACGAGAGAAACAGCTACCAAGTCACCAGGACGACGGTGTGCCCGCGGAAGATGAGTGGGCCACGATGCAGCGCCTTGGAAAATTTGTTGGTGAGCAAATGTTTCATGAATGAGCGTTACATAGTACATGTACGTTGGTTGAGGCTATCCACAGTTGATATCTACGAGCTATGCTCGGACTCAGATTCAGAATCTGAGGATGACAACTCCGATAGCTCAAGCAGTGATGACAGCTCCATCGTCAACGAGTCTGGATCGAAATCCAAAGTGAGGCAAGTTACTTTCAAGAAAGGAGATGAGTATGTAGGCTTCTGATCCATAATTGTATACAACGTGTATGCTTATTCTGAAACATACTTTCAGTGCAATCCTTCATTCCGTAAAAGATGACCAAGACGATGTTTGGGTAGGAATGATCTCAAAAATCCGCAAACGGCACAATGAAGATGAGGTATGGGTTCAGGTAATGTGGTACTGGTCTGGTACAGACTTGTCTAGCCTCCTCAAAACATTGTACGTGGCTGATCATAGCAGTGTCTTCATTTCCCTGGACCTCACAATGTCTGTTCAGCAATGCCCTTGATTTGTCACCATATGAACGTGCAGCATCCGATCTTTCTGATTTTGTATCTGCAAGATCATTTCTGGGTATGCAATTTGATATCTTTCCAATGCTGTTTTCTCACAAATTTGAGACGGGGAATAGCAGTGACCTATGTTCATGAGTTCCATGAAGATGATGTTGACCAGATAGATATTGGCCCACATGATCTATTCTCCAGGTCAACCTTACAGTTTCGCAAGCGTTCATTGCAAGTGCGTTCCTCTCTTATGCTCTTTCAGTACTCTGGTTAAAGTCCCATAGCCTAGGCCTGGAACAGACACCTGTTTCTGTAACTCAACATATGTCCTATATCCTTCCAAGCACCTTGAGAGTACATCATGGCAATTATATGCAGATGATGATAAGATGCACTTCTGCCCTCGAACCACCTGTAGAAGGTGGTATCATGTGAGATGCTTAGTGGATAAACATCATATTGATGCACCCAATATTCAATATCCTGGCGATAGAGGTGTTCGCTTGCTTGCAGGTGACCCAGACTCAGACTTTGATTGTCCATTGCTGGAGTGGTTTACCCAACCCAATGGTGACATGGTGCGTCTCTTGCACAATATTCTGTGTTAGTGATTGTGATCAGAGAAATCTCAGGATGCCTATGAGTTGAACATGAATGATCTCCGAGACAGCTCCTCCAGCCCTCCTGTTTCCCCAACTGGAGATTATGATGGACCACCAATGTCGGCCTCCCTCGCCACAGCCCTCAATATAATGGCAAAGCCATCAGTACTGAAGGACCTACCGGCTTCATTGGTGCAAGTCGCCCAGTACCCCATTGTCCGCCGTTCGGGGCCTCCGAAGGATGGTTGGTCAGCGGTTGGTAACGGAAGGGAGGTAGCCCTTGCACGCCGTCTCATATATGCCGCCTTTGAAGGTGCAAACTCGGATAGTATTGGGTCGATTTATGACAAGCTTGTGACCAATGGTGACGCAAAAGAGGATGTGGCCTTACTCGAAGAGCTCTCTGATAAACTAGTCCAATACAGCATTTTGGCGTCTCCTTATAAGCCGTACTGGGAGCGACGCGGCGGCGAGTTACAGGCTGAGACATGGATGTACGCACCAGCATTTATTTGTCCAAGTTGTAAGCGTGCAATATAGTCTCTGGGCCGCATTTTCGCTTTTAATTCCTATTCGCCCCGTTGTGTTACACCTTTTGTGGAAGTTATGACATTACTTCTATAGATGTATCACATCTTTGCGAAGCATATGTATAGCATCTGTAACGATCCACCCGACACGCACCCGTTGGCCGAGTCTTAGGCTCACAGCAAACTATAATCAGTGTGCGTTAAGTAGAATCGCATGAGATTGTATTTGGAGTTGCGATCGCAGCTGACATCGTATCGGGCCTGCGTCGCGATCCTAGGGTGGAATGTCAGCCCATCGGTACGTTGGCAGCTAACACACTCACTCAAAAGTTACCGGCAGCCTCTAGGCAGCCTCCGTGGCTGAATTTATAAGGGCAATGCTGACTGGAAAAACTCTGGCTCCGGCAAGACACGGACACTAGACGCATCAACGACACCTTCTGCTCATCATGGCGAGAATTTTGAGGCACTCAGCCCATGTTCTGTTGCACATTATCATGGCTCTCGCAACGCCCATTGATATTCTAGGTTCTAGTTCGGCGGACTTACTTACCGAGTCGTTCACTGTACCTGTCACTAAGCAGCTGAACACTGGGTCAAGTACGGATGTCGCGGGAGTCGACCAGCTGCGTGCTCAGATGTTTCAAGCGCATTCAAATCTCGATAGTGGTCAGTCGGTAGCGTCGGCGAATTCCAGCATGGACATGACTGCGCAAAATCAAGTAGTTAGCTATGTTGCAACGGTGAGCACGTCCCTGACCTGTGCTAAACATCTGAAGCTTAGAGATCCCCTCTTGGTTATCTAGATCGGCATTGGGAGCCCTCCTACGAATTGCAAGTCATTCTTACCCGCATCATTTGGTTTCCAGAATGATTCAATTGCCCGCAGATTCCCTTATAATCGACACCGGAAGTTCAAACACTTGGGTCGGTGCCGGTAAACCGTACGTTATGTCAAGTTCAACAGAGTTTACAACAGATATGTTTGTCCGTCAATGCTTCGTTCCGTCATAGCCGGCATGCTGAAGCATTACAGTCTGTCACGTATGGCTCAGGAAACGTGGCCGGTTGGTATTTCTCACTCACTAGTCTTTTCTTGTTTCTTGTTCAACGAGGTCGTTTTAGGCTATGAGGTCCTGGATGATGTCGGATTGGGATCAGGACCGGCTATTCAACACCAGTCGATTGGTGTGGCAGTATATGCAAGTGGATTCGACGGAGTCGACGGTATCTTGGGGTAAGCGCGCTAGTGGGGAAAAATGTGAGCTTGGCTGATGACACGTAGTATTGGACCACTCGATTTGACTCTTGGTGAGTTTCTCGCAAACCTCCTATGCGAGCATCCCCGGTTAAGCTTCAATCGCTCACCGTCTGTGCCAGGGAGTCTAATTCTAGACAAAACCGAATGCGTGCCCACAGTACCCATCAACGCTCAGTTACAGGGGCTTACCAGAGGGAACGAAGTGGGTATATTGTTCACGCCACCGGACGCCACAGGACAGTCTCAAGGGGAACTCTCGTTTGGCGCAGCGAACGATGATCTTTGCGAGGAACCTATCAATTTTGTGTAAGTAGCAACCTTATGGAACTCTATCGTCACTTACAACAATGCTTCAAGCCCGATCACATCACATTCCCCCGCTAACAAGTACGTTGGGATCGACCAGTCCGTAAAATATGGCAGCACGGAGATTCTTTCACAAACCTCGGGTATCGTAGATACAGGAACAACACTTCTCCTGCTCGCAACAGGTGAGTAGTGAGATTACCTGATCATCACAAAGTTTAATCATCATCTGACAACACATAGATACGTTCCAATTGTACAAGAACCTCACCGGAGCCACCATGGACGACACCACAGGACTTTTGCGAATAACACCACAACAGTTCTCGAGTCTGAAAAGTCTGTTCTTCTCAATTGGTGAAGTGAGATATCCGTGCCTTTTGACGATCACCATCAAATGACATGTCTCTCTGGATTAGATGATATACGAGCTCATCCCCAACGCACAAATTTGGCCTCGAGTGGTACGTCGTCGATGTTTGGCGATTTGCGAGACAAGCTCAATCGTGTCTGTCCCAGCTGAATTCGGCACTAGGAGGAGATCCAAACGCCATCTACCTCATCGTATCTGACATTGGAACGCAGTCAGGAAGCGGACTCGACTTCATCAACGGCATGACGTGGCTTGAACGTTTCTACGTGGTATACGATGCTGGAAACTCACGAGTCGGGTTCGCCAATACACGGTACACGAAATCCGAGTCAAATTGACAAGCGAGCATTGTTGTGTGCGCTCAAGTCGCGCAATAATAGAGAACGACGTGGCGTTTGACCGTCGTGATCCTTTGGAAGATTGCTATAGCTGCTTGTGAGAGTGAAGGAGAGCCTAGGTTTTTTAGAGATGATAATGTACGGTCGGGTTTCAGTCATCATTCCTCAGTAAACATGTGTAGCCTCGGGAGCTACGTCTGCAAGTGCACTGTCGGTGAGCCTCGAGCACCTTGGGCGGTAAGCTCGCTCGTTGGCCCGGTAAGTACTTTTTAATGCAGCAATAAGCAGCCACTATCCTGGGTGGTATGCCCGGGCATCGGCTCAAAACCCCGATGTAGAGATAAGATGGAGGTCGCTGAAAGACACCTGATCAGCCACTGAGCGCTCACCGAACACGCACTGGCAGGAACAGGCTGCAGCGTCGTGGTGCGTCTCTCCGCGTCTTGGGCTATTTCGCAGCCTTACTCCAAGCCGACTTCTTCATCTCCAGTCTCCACCCCCTTGGAAGTTTTCATGGCTGCGCAGGTATGCTCAGATATAATAATGCTGCAGCATCTCCCATGGCCACTTGTCGACCCCTCGGAATCCGAGTACCATTCGCACTCTGTATCAACGCGCTCGCTGTATTTCTATCGTGGAATCTGCTCTTGAATGTCCTTTGAGGATGATTGGATACAGAGAACGTTTCTTAGCCATAGTCCACCTCGGGAAGATTCTTAGTGCTGGGGCGCGTACTTTCACGGTCACCAACAAGTGCTCGTATACTGTATGGTACGTACACCTCGCCTAGGCATTCTTGCCTATCAGAAAAGCTCATGTTATGGCTAGGCCAGCTGTAAGCATGATGAAGGGCGAATGGACTACGTATCATTGATGTAGAGAATGGCAGATGTTCACTGGCCCTTCTTCAAATCCGAATGTGCCAAACTATCCTTCAGGGTATGTCGCGATACAGTTGGTTTATATTTTGCGTACTAGCTAATTCTTCTCCAGCTGGGAGGCTCAACCCGGCGCCTCGGTCAGCTTCACTGTTCCGGACGACTGGACGTCTGGACGAATTTGGGTTCAGTGCCATACGCATACAGGACGACGATACCCATTCTCACCTTATACTTCACAGGGTAGGGTTGATTGCAATTTCAACAATGATAGCGCCAGTGGACAGACATGTCTATCTGGCTGGTGCATCGGCGGATTGGAGTGTAATCCCACTACAGGCACGGTGAGCCACCATCTCGATAACTCTGATGATAAGTAGAATGTAACATTAACCACGCGGATTTATCATCATGAGGGTGTGCCTCCGGCTACTGTGGCCGAATGGACTCTTCAAGGTAGCGATAACAAAGATTACTACGATGGTAAAGCTAATTCTTCGCGGCTTCTCAAAAATTGAATAATCAATTTAAGTTTCACTTGTGAATGGTTTCAATCTTCCCCTTGAAATCACAAACAATGTCGGCTGTTCATCTGCTGGTTGTACAGCTAGCCTAAATTCCATCTGTATGTTTCTTAATTTTAGTTCTCACCCTGCGCATCGCACTGATATGTCACTTTGAAGGTCCAACCCCATTACTAGGCCCCTCCAATTCTTCTGGAGCAATTCTTGGTTGTCAGAGTGCTTGCGGTGCCAATTTGGATGGCGATTCCGGCATGTCAAGTTCTACGTGACGTCCAACCCACGCATAAGCTTATAGCGACCCTTAGCTGATTCACCGAATTGCTGCACTGGGAGCTATAGTTCTGCCGCCACCTGTCCGTCTTCTGGAGTGAAATACTACAATTTTTTCAGTGAGCTACCTGTGTATCTAACCTAGTTTGCATTGAACCTTTGATCCAGAAGAGAATTGTCCTGATGCGTATGCATATGCCTACGATGAGTCCAGTGGAACGGCGCTCTGGACCTGCGATGCGGATCTTAACGCAGACTACATGCTCACTTTTTGCCCGTAAGTACTCTTCCAGGTCCTATCTACTGTCATTCACCAGAGGTCTGATTTTCAGACCCACGAATGAGTCTCCTTCTACAGGATCTCCTGTATCGGGAACGACAAGTACCGGGGAGTCGGGGCCGATTCAGACGGTGTCTCAATCGAGTATATCTCCCACACCCTCCGGCGTGTGGACGAGTGGTGCTACAGCAGCTATTTTGACGCCAGCAGGAACATTAGCGGTGTGGGCCGTATTGTGTGTGTGCTTGGTGGACGCATTGAGACGAAGTTGGAGGGTACTTTGAAAGACCGATACTATGATCTGGAATGTCGCATGAATAGTCTTTTGGTAATCTCTAACAATTGACGAAACTCTAAGGTTATGTTCTCCGTTTTTGAAAAGACAGACAGTTCAAGGCACGAATTTCTGACTCGTTCCGCTTCCAGTCAAATCTGACTGATGTGGACCTAGATCGAGCCCCTACCGTTGGATTGGTATATGGCAACACGGGATATGTGCGGCGACCATGTACTGAGCGCGAGCCTATAAGACTGACCATGTGGTATCCGTATTCGGCGATACTACCCGATGAACTACGCCCGTTTTCTGCACTTTCCAGTGATCGGTTTTTGTATCCGAGCTCGCACACATCCACTGACCCATGCACAGCTGTGTTGAATTCAGGCACTTTCCATGTACTTCTTGCTCTATACGGAAGCCATTCAGATCAGGGCCCGGTGTTTGCATGGCCCTGAGGATGAATCTTGAAGGTGTTAAGTTGATTCGGAAGTGAATTGCCGGCATGCGGCTGTTCTGGAGTCACGAGGTGGTCTTGGACGGTATTGTACCCGGTGGCATCTTCCCTCCAAGCCGCTTGGTCACAGCCTTCAGCAATGCAGCGTGTTCAAGTGCTCGCCAAGGATTTGAAGGCATAGCTCGGAATCTCGTCAGCCATAATCCTAACTAATAAGAGCGTATTCAATGCCTCTCAGTGAGCGATTCTGGAGCATCAAGACGGTCTCTTGAGCCTCGATATGACTCAATATCGCTAAGCGAAACATCGTTTCGCCCTTCTATTCTGACTTAGACATAAAGATGAAGATATGTAAGAAGTGTAGTTTTTAGAGTATGGTCCATATCAGTCATTTTTTTACGTTGTGAAGATCAGATTAGGTACGTACATCGCTACCATACCAGTCGTGCCACCAAATCAAATTCTATTTGTGCTTGCAGACAGCACCGCGTTGCCGTGGCTCAGACAATTTGAAGTCAATAGTGCGCACGAGGCATTCACAAGTTGGACGAAGCTCTGCAACTGACTGATCCTAAGCTGGAAGTTGCCGTTCGCGGTGAACATTTAACACTCGCGCCATGAATGGATCCCGGCCGCGACAGAGTCGCTCTCGTATTGGGATGACTCCGCCCTCATGGAGATCTTTCGCAAGGGCTTCGAGCCGAAAATCAGGCCTGGGAGTGAATTGGACTTTCAACCACCGAGAAATAGGGAAGTGAATGTCTTGAATTTCGTCATTGTCAATGTTGAATATGCTTTTGTTTCCCCTATTTCATGTCATGCACGAGCGCAAGTTCACTCGGTAGTCCCCTGCGCTCACTCAAAGTTGGTATGAATGCGAGATGTTGGCATACGGTGGCGTCGATATCAATATCACCTCGCATCCAAGGAAGTACAATCTGCCCCTTAGCAACTGGAGATAACATTTCTTGGAGGAATCAGGTCCGGCCTCATTCACACTGCACGCCAATACAACCACAAATGACATGTAAAGAGCATAAGACGTAATTTTCACTTCAACCCACTTCTTCACCTCCTGTATGCCCCTCGAGTCACCTACCTCCTACCCTTCCCAGACATTGTTAAAACCATTAACTTCCATCTCACTGACCCACCTGACAGCACCGAGGTTTCAGGGATTAGTCCGGCCTCTCGCCCTACTGAATTACATTCTGGCCATCGCGATGATGCAGCAGACGGGAATGACAATATGAAAGACTACGATACGTTGACGTTCCCGTCTTTCCTCAGGCCCGTGCATGCGCGCTGCGGTCCATCGAGTTGAATGAGGCACAATCGTTATTTCGGAATCTAATACCAACACTTATATTCCAATCAACTGACGTCGAAGATCGCTAGCCTTCTTTAGTACAAGCAAAATTCTATTGAGTGCATAAAATAACGATGGTGTCTCGAGAGAATAAGTGTGTAATGCGTCTGTTGTATCATCGAATGCATACAAAAGCTGGCAAGTAGTGTGAGCTTGTAACTCCCCGAAATCGAACAGTGGCTGTCCGTCTGTTCGGGTCAAGCTGAGATTGGGATCTATGCCGACGGCATATATTCGAACACAGAAAAACTCCGCTCACGCTCATAGGCTCTACTTCTCAGCGCGCCGCTTTCTCTCCCCCGCTCACACCGCCACGGAATCAGAGCCTTGATCCCGGGCCATAGCTCATGAGATTCGCATCACGGCTCAGGTGGACTTGGTGATTTCCCCGCAGCAGTCAACATAGGGCAGCCTCTCCCAATTCTAAACTCATGACAATACCTTTCGCTAGCTTCAAAAATCTATCATCTCTTCATCGCGACGTTTCACGCGTTATATCCTCCACTAATGTCTGCTACCACAACGCCGGTAAGCCAATGTCTTAGATGCTACGCCATCAATTAATCGGCGTCTAGCGAGTCCGGCGGGTGGGGCCTTCCTCAATCAGCGGGCCGTTCTATTTTGTCTCCGGTCAGTTTGCTGGCCGCACTCTCCGTGCAGAACTAGAGGAACTGCAGAAGGCGGATCTCGGTCGCAAGTAAGCCATAATCGCCACTAGGCCAAGTTTGAAGTCGCTGACGTGTCCGCGCGCTCGCAGATATGCTCGAAAGGACAGGCGACCTCTTGATCCACCACCCGTCGTGCAGATGCGCTTGTTTGAGATTCTAAATGCCGGCACTCCGAGGGAAACGGAAACGGAATTTGACAATTTTGAGTGCGCTGCTTGTTTTATCGCCCGGAAAGCAATCTGTAATTCATTTCGTTATAGGCAAGTGGACCACAGCATCCTCTGTCACGCCGATCTCTTCCCGGTCCCTGGACACAGCTGCGGAGACGAAGGAGGAGGCGAAAGAGAAGGAGAAGGAGTACAAGTACAGGCAAGTATTGGCGAAGATGAGGGCGAGTCTTCGACTGCGGTGTCGGCTTTGACTCACTCAGCGTCGAGATCTCGCCCTAATGCACCAGTCGACCCTTCCTCACAGTCGCCCACTCTCCCATCCCCACCCCACTTCCCACTCTCTGTAGCGAGTTATGCCAGCACTCCTTCTGCGCCAGTGGCGTCCCACGGCAACTCATTGTGGACTTATGGAACTTTTAACACGCTCCCGTCATTCCCTTCAGGGTTACGATATTCGAATTCTGCCACAGCAAATGGCTATGTATCACCAAGCCTCCACGCGGGGAACATCCCGGTACGGGCATTTACATCATCATTGAGTCAAGCGCTCTCAATTCCAGCACAAGCTCTGCCTGTGTCAACAGCACCTCTTACTTCCTCCATTCCCACTTCTCTATCTCCAACGTCTTATCATTTCGCGCCGATACCACATCCTATGTCAACAATGCCCCGGACTCACCCTATACCCAATTCTGCGTCGATGTCGGCTAGCTCTCATTCAACACGAGAATATACCCCCCCGCTCCCATTACGGACTCCTGGAGCACCATCAAGTAGTCTTGATCCTTCACTCAAATCGAGTTCACCTGATTTGCATGGAGAGCCAGCTTCTCCCGCCGACATAATCAATTCGGATGTTGTTGCCTATGTAGGAAATTATCCCATTCGGGAATCTTCCAAGTGCACACAAGCGCTTGCGGGTGCGACGTTCGTTCAGTCAGCTGGCCTCGAATACATGGGGAAGAATGTGCTCATGTTTGTTTTCTCAGTCAGTGTTTTGTCATTTATATGCTGTACTATATTGGCATCTCTCATTCTGTCAGTTGAACACTTGATGGCGGCTCACGATTTCTCTCGTCCTTAGGACCTCGCGGTGAAGGCTGAGGGAACGTTCCTTCTGCGCTATCGTGTGTTCAGTATATTCGGCAAAGCTCGTGGAAACTCAGACATTCCCATCCTCGCTGAATGCTACGGTGGACCATTCAGGATTTACTCAACGAAAGAGTTTCCTGGACTCCGCGCCTCGACCGATCTCACCAAAGTCCGTATAGCTGTTATAAATATACTGCATATCTGACTATATTCTAGCATATCTCGTTATTTGGAGTACGACTTAACCTCCGCGAAACTGAGCGCAAGAGGCGAAAGAAATGCGAGATTGAGGCAGAAAAGGCGTTAGCTGTGGCAAATGCCTCTTCAACTCATTCAGGATCTCCAGCGACCTCGGCTTCTTCGGGATCTGGTCGTGATTCGTCCCGTACAAGGCGCGCTGATGCCAGGCGTAAACGACGCCTTTAACAGAGACAACAGCGGTGATGATATGAGCTTTCATTCTTGGTTGTTTCCAGCATGGTGTCATGCCCGTCTGATTGGCTGTCAATTCAACTACTACTGACTGCAGACACGTATCTTAGTGCATGTTCTAATTTTCTTGCAGCTCTTCCCGGGGGTTAATGATGTCAGTGCCATGGACGGTTGGGAAGGCTTGTTGGTCGCATCGTATATATAGACTGCCCTCAAAAATATGTATAATTTAATCGTAGTAGCTGATTGTGTTGCGTCGAGGGTAGCCATCGGCCAGGATCTCAGTGCCAAATATTCGTAATTAGACGTGTGCACGATTCCCATCATTTTCGTGCATTTTTGAAATAAAAAAAGAATGGAAAGCATGACAAAAGCAGAGCAAAGCGAATTGTAAGTTGCTAATGGGGTATTTAAATTCGGTTAAATGATGAGACGCGATGGAATGGACGGTTCTGCTCATACCATTAGCGCAGTACCACTGTTGATCCAAGTTCCCCAGACTCTGCTAATGCGCTGTTCACCTTAATTTACTATCCGTTGCACCCAGTCCCATCTGACCTCCTTAATAGCTTGTACCAGTTTGTTGGCGGCAGCGCTCTCCGCCCATTCCGCGCGCACCCCGGAGTTTGCCTTCTCTTCACTTCCGAGTCGGGGCCCACTGTCGTTGGCACTATAGAGCGCACGCGCGGACAACGAGAAGCGCCGGAGTAATCCTAATTTACTCTAACTTATTATTCCGGGAAATTCTGACCCTTAGGCTAATATACTATAATATACACCTAATTTACGTCAGCCCTTGCTTCGTACACCCCAGACTTATCCTTGTTCTGCACGCTCTGACATTCGTCGTTCACTTGCCTCTTCGTACTCGATTTTGAAACTATGGTGAGGATAAGGAAGCGACATCTTATGAAAACTACACTTGCTCATTTACTGTAATCAGTCGACAAACTGTCGCCGCCGACTCATCCGCGACTTCAAGCGGCTGTCCACTGATCCTCCCGGCGGGATCTCTGGTAGTCCCTGCCCCGACAATATCATGCTGTGGAATGCGGTCATTTTTGGTCCTGGTAAGCCTCGTTTGCGATGGACGAAACTCACTATATTGATATCGCCACTCATCAGCGGACACGCCCTTCGAGGATGGCACATTCAAACTTCTTCTCACTTTCGACGAGTCTTATCCCAACAAACCGCCTACAGTCAAGTTTCTGAGCCGCATGTTTCATCCCAACGTTTACGCAAACGGAGAGCTGTGTTTAGATATTCTCCAGAATCGCTGGTCGCCAACATACGACGTTGCTGCCATCCTCACGTCTATCCAGAGTTTGCTGCATGATCCCAATCCCAATAGCCCTGCTAATGCCGAAGCCGCCCAGCTATATAGGGAGAATATGAAGGAATATGTTCGGCGAGTTAGAGCTACGGTGGAGGAGAGTTGGTTGGATCCTGAAGAGCAGAGGCAAATGTCCGAGCCTGAGGGAAACTCGGGTACAGACCATTGAATCCCGGCATCAGCACCGTTCAAATAATTGTCAACGTGTATTTATATACAATATTCTGTAAGAGTGGTTCAACTGAGACAGTGTATTATATAGCGACATTCCAGTATTTTAAAAACTACGGCTACATGATAGACGATGCTCTGATAGAAATCTCGGTGATCTAGCAGTAACAACAACAGTGTGCATTGAGTAAAGGCACCATTCGACAGTACAAGCATCTACACAGTGAGTCACTATGTATAGCTAGATAACTTTGGCAGCCTCTGGTGACATCTTTATACATTTTGGGCGTCGAAACTCTCGCTCGTCGAACCTGGAAGAGATATCATTTACCAGCGGAACGTCTGGAACGTCTGGAATAATATTTTCCATGCTTCAACAACTCGCTCTGGCCAACTTCATTGACACGAAGCAACTGATCTAACTTCTTGAATAAATTAAGCTGAACTCGTCGATCATCACGTGCGTACTGAAGGCGCGCCCGCTTGGCCTGAGTCTCCCGGCCATCCAGGCTGGAGGTCGACATCCGACCACTCAGCACCAGATCTTGTCGACTTATAAGTGGAAACAATAGACTTGATTGTAGGTGTCCAATTGTCTAGGCTTGACATTCAGACTATCACTAATTTCCCCATAGGTCGACGGTTGTTGGCGCCATGTTCTCGTCATTCGGAAACACACAGAACGCGTCAGGCAATAATACCTTCGGGAATTCAGGCCAGCCGCCTCAACAACAACAGAACAGCGCATCAAATACCGGTGGCAGCTTGTTTGGAGGGCTTGGGTCGTCGACGAACATGACACAGCCAGCAGCTGGTGGGTCATCTTTATTCGGCAACACAAACCAGCAGGCTCCTACCGCTGGAAGCAATTCGCTGTTTGGAAACACTGCGACGAACACTACGGCGTCATCTCAACCAGGTGGTAGCTTGTTTGGGAACACTGGTAACCAGGGTGGCGGCAGCCTCTTCGGTGGCACACAGTCCAACAACCAGCTTGCACCCAGTGGACTCTTTGGGACCTCGGGAACCACCAACACTCCTGCTGGGAATTCTCTTTTTGGTTCCAACACGGGAAACACAAATACTGCCGCCGGTGGCTTGTTTGGTAATACTGGAAATACTGGTACTTCTGGAGGATCGTTTGGCAACGCTGCTAGCGGGAATCCGGGCACAACTGGGACAGGGCTTTTTGGAAATACAACTGGTGCAAATAATACGAACGCGACCGGAGGAGGGCTTTTTGGAAACTCGACTGCGGGGAGCAACACCGGTACAGCAGGTGGTGGTATATTTGGAAATCCAGGAGGGACTGGGGCTGGCTCAACAGGTGGGAGTTTGTTCGGGAACACCTCTGCTACGAACACGACGGGTGGGAGTCTGTTCGGTAATACCGCAGGAGGAACAGGCACAAACCCAGTTGGAGGCGGACTTTTCGGCGCTGCAGGTGGTGCTAACGCGAACGCCTCTGGAGGCGGACTCTTTGGAACGTCAACGAATTCTGGGACGCCAAGCGGCGGGCTTTTCGGCAGCACAACAAATCCTCCTACAACAGGAGGAGGCCTGTTTGCCAATTCTGCGAATGCTCCTTCTACGTCTGCTAGTGGCGGCCTTTTCGGTACACAGTCCCAAGCAGGCATGAGCACTAATCCTTCGTCGTTATTTGGTGGATCGACCCTCGGCCAGCCTCCGCGCCAGGGATTATTTGGGACTAGCACCTTAGGTGGGCCTACTTTGCTAGGCTCTACTGCAGGCAACTTGCTCTCTTCGCGAGCTATCTCCAGCCCAGGTCAACATCAACCGGATGCATTAACCCAGTTCATGTCTCTGACCCAACGGATCGAGAGCATTGCCCAAGCCTGGAATCCCAACGCCTCGCAATGTCGATTCCAGGTAAGCCGCACGCCGCAGTACGAATATTTCTTGCCGCCCTCATACCACGTCCCTAGCATTTTTTCTATAATTTGGTGGACCCTAGTCAGGTTCATCTCTATGGCCGACCCCCGAATGCCACAAGTGACGCTCTCTGGCAGAAAGCTGTTCGCGAAAATCCTGATCCTAGCTGGTCAGTCCTCAGTTCGTATGCCAACAACGATCAACACTTTAATCAGATATCAGCCTTGTTCCAGTGCTTGCTACAGGATTTGATGATTTACAAAAGAGGGTTGAGGCACAATCAGAACAAGCAGCCGCTCATGAACAGAAGCTAAAGGTATGTTTGATTGAATCCATTAGGGCTCTACTTAATTTTTTTAATTTCCACCGACTAGGAATTACAAACAAAAATTGCCGCGCTTGCCCAGAGACATAAAGTCTCGAACGTGACCCGTTTACACCGTGCCACGGCATTGCAAACGCAGCTAACTCATCGGGTGCTCAAAGTGGTGCAGCACCTGCATCTCCTCATACCTGCAGTGCGATCGTCTGCGATTAGACCTGAAGAAGAGGTTTTACGAGCAGCATTGGAGGATATTGACCAGGAAGTCCGGAGGCCAGGGGGCATAGGAAGAATGAGGGGTAAGCTAAACGAGCTGTGGGCGCTCGTGGGCGCGGTGACCGCTGCTCGAGAAAGAGACCGGAAAACAGCAGGGACAGAATGGATGGTTGTGGATGAGGAAGGTCTTAGCCAACTTGCTCAGGTAACGCCCGTCCTGGCAAGCTCATAGCGGATCCAAGCCTGATCAGTTGAATTAACAGGTGCTCGCAACCGAGCAAGCTGGCCTCGCACACTTGACGAAAATATTGCAAACAAATCTGAAGGACTTGGCGGTGATTCAAGGAACGAACGTGAGGGAAAGCGAGCCTGATAGTCTTTTAAAATCCAGTTCTATGCTTCGTGGCAGTACAATGTATTCGTAATTGTAAGATGTCGTCGCTATAGGCAGCATTGCGTTGAGCATTCAGGTCGTGGTTCAGCGAACGAGCGGGGGCGGTCGTGTCTCCAGCCATCAGAAGAACTAGCGATTGTGTGATCGTCTAAAGGGTCTGAGTTTGAACAACGCCACGAAGGAGGCCGTATACATATATCTGAGTTTCAACGCTTGTATAACCATCTGTTGGAAGCTTACAGTTGGTTCTGACTCCGAAAGCCATTAAGCGCGCATCAGCAGTATGACGAGATTTATCCCTACGAGTTGGTTTGGCCACGGCAACCGTCTCTTTGTCCTTGTCCATGTTCCACAGTCTGTAGCATTATGCGTGTCCGTACTCTTGAAATTCGCTGGCATGATAACAAACCTATCTCTACCTGCGACTTCCAGCCCATACCATATAAGAAGGCGCGTCCGACACACGAGAAGCACTTCGCAACACAGTCCTATCGGCTTGCCACAGGCGGAGAGGATAATCATATCAGGGTATGAGTATGCGACACTTCATAGCGTTCCAGAAACTCATTCCGTCTGAACCAGCTATGGATGGTTCACCCGAACATCCTTCCTCAATCAGTGGTAGGCTCCGCCACCGAAACGCCTACTCCTCGTCCCCCGCGCGTCGAATATCTCGCCACACTCAGCAGACACTCCGCCGCAGTAAACGTCGTACGCTTCAGTCCTAACGGTGAGCCCCCCGTCGCGCTATGTGACGCTTGCTGAACGCGTCGACACGCTTCAAGGCGAGCTAATCGCGTCTGCTGGAGATGGTGAGTATCGTTTGAGCTTGATTTGGTATGACCGCCCATGGAACCTCCCCAGATGGAATGATTATTATCTGGTCTCCTACGACGAGTCCCCATGCTAGCAGTTACGGCAGTGATCTCAGTCCGGAGGACCTGCAGTATGAGAAGGAACATTGGAAGCCGCGGACGTCATTTCGGTACGTTGAGAGATATATGCAGCTAGTTCATGCTCCTAATACATGGTGAAGTTGCACCACAATGCAGGTGTATGACCTTGCTTGGAGCCCGACAGGCGAGTATATTATTGCCGGAAGCACTGACAACTGCGCAAGGATCTTCACTGCCAACGAAGGCAAGTGCGTCCATGAGATAGCGGAGCATAACCACTATGTTCAAGGCGTGGCATGGGATCCATTGAACGAATATATTGCCACTCAAAGCAGCGATCGATCAATGCATGTTTACAGCATCTCACAGCAGGATGGCATACTAGAAGTACACGCTGTTGGAAGGAACTCACGTATGGTGCACCGGCATAGTCGTACGCCAAGCTCGCGCAGTCGTCCAAGGATGTTCAGACGAGAGTCAACTGCCAGTGAGACCGAGTCCGTTATCACAAGCGCCAGCGAGCAGCTCAAGGAGGAAGAAGTCGCTACCGGCTCTGGTTATCAGCACGGTGGTGGCATGTTGCTTACGCCTACCGCCTCAGTTCCTAGTACGCCGTCCACCAGCATGTTCCCTCCCCCTTCCCGTCGGTCGTCCTTCAGTGGGTCCAACGCGGCTAACTCACCAAACGTGCACGGGCGGTTTGGTCGCTCGCCGTCGCCAATGCCGGCTCTACCTGCCATCCGCACGCAATCTGCTGCTGCCTCGAGCTGGGCATCTGTTAAATTGTATGGAGACGAGAGCTATAGTAACTTTTTTAGGCGCCTCACGTTCAGCCCTGACGGCGGACTACTTCTTACACCTGCTGGCCAGTTTGAGGATCCGTCTATCATTCCAGGTCCTTCCAAAACTGCAAATAATGGCAAAGGAGAGGAGCAACCCACTCGTGGACGAAAGGGAAACCCCACCAGCAACTCGGAGTCGTCCAACCAGGCTGCGTCGTCAGTATATATCTACTCTCGCGCCAACTTTGCGCGCCCACCTATTGCGCGTCTTCCGGGTCACAAGAAGGCGAGCGTAGCAGTCAAATTCTCACCCATTTTGTATGAACCACGCCCTGGCGTCTTCGGTTTAGAATATCCCGAGGAGCCCAAGACGGTGGTCATTGAGAAGGGCAAAGAAGAATCGATCAACGTAGACATTGCTCCGCCTACGCCCCAGATTCCATACGCTGAGCCACTGAAACTATCCCCCATGAACAGTGCCTCAACGTCTTCGATTGCGGCACCTTCTCCACGTGTTGCCATACCTACGACTCCCCAGGGTGCTATGATGCCTTCCCCCGCATTATCGGCGACGGATTCGCTTAGGCCACCCACTCCTATGGCCTCAAGAGGTGGAACTCCTGCCATTGCGCCTACGCCGACCGCATCTATATTTTCGTTGTCATATCGCATGCTTTACGCGGTTGCGACGATGGATACAGTTGCCATCTACGATTCACAACAAGCAGGCCCAGTGTGTCTGTTAACGAAATTACACTATGATGAATTTACGGATATGACATGGTATGTGAAGCGGTCGTCTTTGTATATTGCAGTGAGGCTAAATGTGCCCTCCAAGGTCCCCTGATGGTCAATGTCTTATGCTATCGTCACGAGACGGTTACTGTACTGTTGTCGTCTTCGACGAGATCCTACCTGCTTATCATACACAACAGCAGACTCTTCAGCTGCAGTCTATTGCTCATCATCATTCTCTCCCGCTCACGAGCACCTCAACCGTGCCTACCCCGATGTCGACCCCGTCCGTTCAAACCATAGGCTTACCAATCATGTCCCCTGTTGTCTCTGGAAAGCGAAAAGCGGATGTGATCGAGACCCCCCTTACGCCCGCCCCTAGTATGGATGAGAGCGTGCTTGGTACACGATCCGTGGGTGAAGATCCTGGCGACGCGGAGGCGCAAGGACCACCTAAGAAAAAGAGGCGTGCAGCACTTACCCATATTGGGGACGTTGGATCGTGAGGTTTGTCTCATACATTTTGCTTGGACGATCGATTTATCTACCCGGTTGTGTCCTTATTTCCTTCCTGCATCTTATTCTTACGATATATACGGTAGCCAGCCCTCTTAGTAGTGTACCTGATCTGGTTTTGTACTATAGCGTCATGAATTGTCCAATGTTGAAGTTGCATCCATCACTGTATGCGATACCGTGTATGCGATAGTATACAATGATAGTAATAACAACAAATCTGCAATACGCCCTGCAGAGCAAAAATACAGATGAAAGAATCCCATGCAACTCTCCAGGACGTTGAGCTCAACCGGTCTTGTTCTTGCTCCGTTTCCCTACCTGGGCCTGGAAACCTGTCTTGATCGTGTTAACGGATCGTCGCGATCCACATGACTCGCACGACATGAAGAAGATACGATTCTCCTTCGTGAGAAGAGTGTCTGGTGATTTGCACGTCTTACACGTTACATATTCCGCTAGAGACGTAGCTGAGAAAACGAAGGACCAATAGTAAGATATCAGGACTTACCGATATATCGACGCAAGACTTGCTCGATCTGTTTTTGTTGGAATCGTCCCCTGATTACCAGACGAGCGGATCCATCCACAGATCCAGTGGTACCTAGTTCAGCAAACATATACTGGATGACATGCTCCGGTTGCCGGTGCATTCGCCTGCAGATGTCTGATACGTTTGCAAAAACCGTTTTCTTGTTCCCATCACGCATGATTTGAGGAGGCGAGATCGTGTATCGTTTCCCAGCGACGTTGAGTAGGGCGGGGTTCGATGCGTGTAATTGGGCGTAGAATCGCTGCAACAACTGTTTCAAGTTGACCGACGGTAAGCACTCAATCTCAACCGAGGGGGGAACTCATACCTCTGGGTACATGTAGTCGCGATCGCTCCCAAGCCATGGCTCGGTGCCAGAATCTAAGGTGATGGCACTCTCCGTCCGAACGAAGGGGTCATCCCCCAGCTCCGCCTCGTCGATCTCCGCGAGCGCATCTTCCCCGCCCTCCTCATCTTCGACATCTTTTACCTTTGCATCGTTTAATTCCTTCTCAAACGCCTCCATATCAAGCGTCGCCTTCTTCTTTGATGACTTTTTCTTTTTCTTGAGATCGGAGAAGTCCATATCTCCAGTCGCGGCCGGCGCTGGTGCCGAGACCCCAAGGTTGTCCTCTGGCTGCATTTTATGACATTAATCCTTCAGCGTCACAGAGAGCAACAATCAAAGCATACAAGATCCATAGGAATATCCTTTTTCTTCTTTTTCTTCTTAATATCGCCGAACATGCCCTTGAAGTCCTCCTCCTCCTCCTTCTTCTCAATCGGTTCACCCTCGCCCTCTTCTGTGGTCCCGTTCTGCTTCATTTGCTCATGCATAGTAGTCGGGCCCATATCCACGGCATCGCCATCGGTGGTGTGGTTGTCGATGATTGCGGGCGCAGGCATCGTAGGGTCGGCATCAGCACCGAGGGGGTCTTCTGAAAAAGCGACCTGCTTTTTCTTACGTTTCTTCAAGGATGAGTCGAACAAAGGTTCTTCGGACGCCATCTTCGGTAAACGGCAGTGTGCAGGTATGCGGCGACACTGAAGTCAATGAGCTGTGCTCGATCTCGAGGAGTCAGACTCGCCGTGCTCGCGCCGATGACTTCAAACTCCGTCGATTACTCTCCCACGCACCATCCGCCTTGTCCCGCTGCCATCTGGCAGGTTCATCCATACCTCTCTCCCTCATTTTATCCAGATGCTTGCTCGGCGTACGCTCGGTCGTATTGCGTCCCAACCTCCCGTGGGGGCTGCCCCAGCGGGTGCTCGGAATATGGCCACCCTTCGCGAGATCGAACTGCGCCTCAAGTCCGTAAGGAACATCGAGAAAATCACGAAGGTGGGTACGAAATTGTCTGCTGCAATTCCGGATAGTTATATGTCCACACCGTGAAGTCCATGAAAATGATTGCCTCGACAAAACTCGCGAAAGCCCAGCGCGCCATGCAAGCAGGCAAGCAATACGGTGTTGCTAACTCTGGTAAGGAAATTCAATACGCGTTTTGAGACAGTGCTTATCCTCGCATGTACCTCTTAGAGGTGTTCCAGAACGCGCCTGCAGAGGAGCCCGCCAAACGCAAGCTCTTCATTGTCATCTCGTCCGACAAAGGTCTCTGCGGTGGTATTCACTCATCCGTCACCAAAGCCACGCGCCGTACATTTGCAGACAAGGAAGCTGGCATCGACGCAGACTCACCCATCATGGTCATTGGTGACAAGTCCAAGGCCCAGCTCTCCCGAGCGCTGCCCAAAAACCTTGTGATGACCTTCAACCAGATTGGCCGTGACATTCCTACGTTTGCCGATGCGGCGGGCGTTGCGGACTTAATCATCAAGTCAGGCGTCAAGTACGACGGCATTGCGATTGTCTACAACAAGTTCGTCTCGGCAATTTCGTATGAGGCTGCTATCATGGAGGTGCAGACAGAAGATGTCCTGAAGAGCGCACGTAAGTCCTGTCGTATTTCACATTACCTTCTCATCAGCAGGGGACGTGTGCGCTTGATTGTTTCATGAGTGCCTGACCGTTTAGTTCGCGCAAATCTCCATGTTGTTTGTAATGTTGATCTTGTATTGAGCTCCGTATTTTGTCAGCGGGATTCAAGGCGTACGAGATGGAGGATGACGTTACCAAGGACCTCGCGGAATTCTCCCTCGCTAATGCGATCTACGCTACTCTTGTCGAGAGTCACGCATGCGAACAGAGTGCTCGGTATGTATATCTCCCTTCTGACCCAGTACTCGCGCTTAGAGATGTATCACAGTCGTAATGCAATGGATAACGCGTCGAAGAACGCGACGGACATGATTGGCAAGCTTCAAATGCAGTACAATCGTGGTCGTCAAGCCGCTATCACGAACGAACTCGTGGATATCATTACTGGTAACCAGGACCTCACATTCGGTTTTGTACTGTTGTGTCTAATGAAGCTACACTCTCCTCAGGTGCCAGTGCTTTGTGAGAGTTGGTCCTGCGTCAGAGCTTTATCGTGCAGTAGATTTATCTACGAGCTGCGTATGGTCCGGGGGGTAGTAGATGAACAGAGCTATTTACATTTCAGGACTCATGAAGTAAGTGTAAGTCAGTGCGACAAACCAAGGAATGCTTTGATTTTCGTCACATCCTCAAAAGTCCTTCTAACCTGAATTATGTCTAATTCCGGGCGGCGTGCTGGCTTCTCGCCGAGTGTGCGATCATAGTAGTTATTTGTTGTAACGCGCACCATTACTTTGAAGACGATAATAATGAAGTAATCAAGCCCTCCGAATTAGCCTACAATCTGAGACATGAATCTATGAGCTGTTGCGCCTCAGTCTGACAAAACACGGTTCAGCTCATGCGTTGTAACCATTGGTACTTACATAGTACTTGCTACTTAGCAGAGTATTTGGCACCACAGAGAGCGCTTCCGCTACCACGGGACAGACTCGGACTGCGGACGCGAACTGGACCTACGTCCTTGGCTCTCCCAAGGCTCTCACATCTCGTCTGAACGGAACTTGGTCAGCTGGATAGTGTTGACCTCGGTATCTCCCTCGGTGCCTGGACTGATACCGCACAGACTCGCTCGCGCTTGTCCTTGAACCAGTTATCACCTTGCTCACCATGGCCCATAATTCCCCGATGGTTTCGATTCCGAAGAAGTCTACGGATGAAGTGGACTGGACCTCACCAATACGGAGCGCAATTTCACATTCATATGGTGAGGATCCGGACAACTACGCTACGGAATGTGCGAATTTGCAGCGCTGCAGGCAGGATGCAGTCAAGGGTGCTGGTAGTGATATGACAGGTGCGCCTGCATTGAGTTTGCGAACGAATGATTGATTCATAAACCTCCGCCGGATAGCCCGGGACCTATTGTACAAATATTTTGGCCAACTCGAGCTCCTGGAGTTGCGATTTGCTGAGATCCGAGTGAACTTCCCGTGGCGAGATGCATTCACGAACAAGCTCATCATGCAGACATCCATCGCGTACGAAAAGGCGTCCATCATCTTCCAAATCGCTGCGACCCACTCTGCCATTGCTTCTACCCAAAATCGCTCCGACCCCGAAGGTTTGAAACGAGCATTTTATTATTTCCGTACATGTGCGGGGATGCTCACGTACATAAACGACAACTTCCTGCATGCCCCTTCGACCGATCTCAGCCGGGAGGTCATTAAATTCTTGGTGGGGATCATACTTGCCCAGGCAACGGAAGTCTTCTTTGAAAAATGCACGGACGAAAAGAAAGGAAATGCGCTGGTTTCGAAGATCGCCTCTCAGGCAGCGTCTATGTACACGACCTTGAGCGAAGAGGTAAAGGAATTCATGGGTAAGGGTATATTCGACCGGAATTGGGTGACGATCGTTCAGGTATGTAAGCTCCGCCTGTCGTGATTAGGAGGATATTCACTTGTTTATTGTGCAGGCGAAAGCAAAGTATTTTACATCTATGTCCCAATACTATCGAGCGTTAGCGGACAGCGCTGCCGGCAAGCACGGAGAGGCACTCGTCCGCTTATCTCTCGCAGAAACCGCTGCCAAGGAAGCAAATCGATCTGCCACATCCTTCTCTTCAGTTTTCGTGACACAAATGTCGCCCAATCTCCCGCCAGACGCTGGTTCTACCCTTCTTGATCTTACCAAGGCACATCTGGCGCTCTGTACGGAGCGGAAAAACGAGGCACAACGAGAGAACGACCTGATCTATAACGCCGTACTGCCCGCGGCAGACGCGCTGCCACAGATTGACAAGGCTGCCGTGGCCACCCCGATAACGATACAGGAGGTCTACGCAACTGCAGACGTGCAGAAGGTCATAGGACCTGACATGTTCGTGCGGCTTATCCCCCTCAGTGTCCACGAAAGTGCCAGCGTCTACTCTGAAGAGAAGGCAAAGCTTGTCCGCGCGGAGGTGGAAAAGGCCGACGAGGCCGAAGTAGAAGTCAGAAGTGCCCTAGACTCCATGGGTGTAAAGCAGGGTTTAGTGCGGTTCAAAGCTATCGTTGAGGGTGGCGTCGGTGGCGAGGAAGAAGTGCCTGTCGATGTGCGGCGTTGGCGGGAAGATATTAGCGTCATGGAAAAACGGGAAAGTGTCGAGATGCTCATGGCGCAGCTAAATAGGCTCAAAGAGGCTGTCAAGGGTGAATTGGACGGCGTCAGCAGAGATTTGGAGGTCGAGAGCAAGGAGTGCGAGGCAATGCGCGTGAGATACGACCATCTCTTCAACCAGGCGCCCTCCGCCTCTCTTACGAAGTCGCTACGCCAAGATTTGAAGTCCCACTTAAGCGCTCTAGAGGCAGCGGCTCAGTCCGATCAGCAGGTGGTCACCCTCTGGAGTGCTGTGAAGACAGAGGTTGGATTATTGCTATCTCCTCAGGTAGAGGAAGTCTTCCGAGCAAGCACCGAGCAGGCAGGGGCTGGATCGGAGAATCTTCTTGATATTGACGTAGGGAGCGATACCACGGACGACGACGAACGGGCTAAGGTTGCGCAGCATGTCGACGAAATTGAGGAGCGGCTGGGTAGGCTTAATAAAATTGCGCACGAAAGGAATCAAGTTCTCAAAGACTTGAAGGAGAAGGTAAGTCCGCTCGCTACTGTTAAGAATGCAATTAGTAAACTCAATTCCAGGTGCAATCCGATGACGTATCTCATCTTCTACTCCTCAACCGCCGAAATAGTGGTGTAGAAACCAGTTTATTCGCTGGCGAACTAGAGAAATTCCGACCATATCAACAACGTTTGGCAGCCACCGTGCACCATGAACAGGTTGCTTTACAAGATGTCTCTGCACTATGGCGTAGCTTGAAAGACCTTGCGGGTCGTGGGCCAGGCGCTAAGAAGTGGGAAGAACGGGAGAAGCGCAAGAAAGAGACAATCCAACGATTTTCACGTGCGAGGGATGGATATCTGGAAGTTAGGGATGGCCTTGCGTGCGTTTTCCAAATTTTCAGACCACCATTGTAGGCTAAACTAACTTAACATAATCAACAGAAAAGGCTTGCAATTCTATAATGAGCTCACAGTGTTAACCACCGGTCTCCGGCGCAATGCAAAATCGTTTGTAGCTGAACGAACAGCAGAGCGAGAAGGAATTGCTGCGCAGGCAGAAATACAGCGACGAGCATCGATGTCAGTAGCTCTACCCCCGCTGCAAAAGCCTCAGGTCCCACCACCTCCTCCTCGGCCTCAAGGCTCTCCTTTGTCAACAGGCTTCGATTCTTCATTTGCTGCTATGAGCCTGAATAGAAGGAACGGTCCGGCTTCTCCCCCCGTACCTCCTCCACCAAGTCAGAACTCTTGGGGTCCCAATACCCTCGCACCTCCCTCGTCGCAGCAATATTCATCTGCCCCACCATCTCAACCTCTTCGTCCACCATATTCTTCTCATCCTCTATCTACTTCCCCTTCCCAGCCACCCTCTCAACCTTCTGCACCTCCAGTCGACCCATATGCTGGCCTTGGCATGTTCGCTAGCAGCGCCAGCCCATCGCCTTTCCCACCATCCAACCAACCGTCTGCCCCTCTACGTCCGTCGCAGCCACAGCAACAAATATCGTATTCACAACCCCAGCAATTATCCTACGCGCCACCTCAGCGTCAAGGATCATATCCTCCGCCGCCCCCACAGCCTGCGTATGGTTCATACCAGCCGCCACCACCCTCAACTTCACCGTTCCCGCCGCCTCCACCTCCTGTCAACTATCAGTCACATTACAGCTCGCCGCCTCCGCCTCCCGCCCAACAACAGGGCGGGTATCAGTACCAAGGATTCCCGCCGCCGCCTTCTCAGCAGCAACCTCCGTATGGACAGTACCCACAGGGATATGGAAGATAGTGATAAGATGATTTCTCCGTTTCAAGACTGATTAAGTGCAGAGGTACTAGCTGGCACACAGGACAGGTGTAGTATTGTAGTGAATGAGTATGTTCGTAGACACTCTTGTCGGCATTTTTTGTTCGTGTAGTGTGGTAAGACGAAGGGAGAGCAATTGGCTCCGCTCTCTCCGCAACACACAGTGCGATCGCAGACGGTAAATTTGGACCATCACCACTCAAATATAGATTTAGCAGCGACCGTAGTGTGGCATCTTCCCACTGTCAGGGTGAGCTTGAGATTCGAAGCTCCGGGGATCTATGCTACGAGCAGCTGCTTTACTTGGTGAGATGTTGAGTACGGTAGAGCGTTGAAGTGGACCATGGTGAGATCTGGTGGCATCCAGAACGACAGCCGGTCGTCCTAGACTTGAGGGTACATAAGTATTGTGGCCATGCAGAGGTCCCGATCATTCGTGGAGTCATGTACAGTGAGTGAAGTGCAGTTGAGCGGTGCGACCGTTTGGGCATGTACGTACTACTACTAGTTCTGCACAGGTTTTGCGTGCTCGAAAACTCGTGGTGAGTGGTGTGTTCAATCCTTCACTGACGAAAGTGCAGCATCATAGGAGTAGGGACGGCCGACAGAGGCGTTGGGTCCGTATGCCGACTTCAATACATTACAATGCTAGGCGTGAAAGATCCGGCAGAAGCCTATGGCATGACGCAGTGAGCTGCAACATGGCCCGCGCGCCTTGTGCTATTTATGCCAAAATTAAACTTTGAAGACCCTCGAAAGCATGCAACGCACGAGGTAGCCGCTTCCGACGCATGGGAAAGCTTGGCTTATGCGCAAAGGATACGTGTGCAACTCTTCAGATGCGAAATATCCTTGTGATGCCGTAATACCCGAAGCTGAGACGTTGGAAAGGCCGATCAGGCATCCCAGCCACCCACGGCCAGTACTTCATGTATTCCATAATGATCTGTGCTGTAGAATTTTCCGAATGTCTTGTGTCATGGACTCCAAAGCATAGTACGCGGCCCGCGTAGCAATGGTCCACTCACTGCATTGTGGCAGGAAGGGCTGGAGAAAACAGTTTTGGAGCGATCGGGGTATGGCGCACAGATCATGTTGTAGGCATGGATGGCATGAACGGTCCTCACGGACTTGAAAACCCAGTGGTTGGCGTGGTGGGAGCGTTCGACTTCAGTAGACGCGCTTGTGGCTGACCGTTCCAGCTCAAGCGTCTAACCGACCTCGAGCCTGCTGGCGAGCCCTCAGGTTGCTTCGCTGCACAACCTGTACGCAGTCATGTATTGTCACGACAGCTTCGGTAAATGCATTGGCGTAATGAATCTGTGTCTCCATTCAGAGGTTTCCTGTTAGTACTGCTTTTACTAGAACTTGACTCTTCACAGCAACAACGACATGGATCGTTTCCCTGCAATGAAAACTCATCGGAAAGGTACCAACTGAATAGGGTAAGCCTCTCCTCACTTTCAAAATGGGCCTTTCCCCGTCTCGGACATTTCTTTGTGGTGTCACCGCAGGATCTCCTTCGAAGGCCATGTACGTTGCTCTGACACCGCCTCGACCGCTTTTTGCAACAACCTGCCCAAATATTCTGATGGAGAATTATGTCCTTTAAGGCCGCCCATGCCGAGGATGGAAAAGCAGGGTACCAAGCAGATTGGCAGGACCCTGCACCTGACAAGTGATTATTTCAAAGTCGACAGATAGGACGTTTTTGGAAGGACTAAGGGCGGCCTATGTTCAACCTTTAGGATCCATGAATGTCAGGGAAGGCGTTGCCCGAACACGCTGTATGCACGATGATCTGTAAGTACTTCTTCTCGGCTCGCCGCCGTATTCTACAGACCCATCTGCTTTCCGTAGGCCTTCCGTCTGTTCCATAGTACAGACAAGGCCCTGATCTCCCCCAGTGTTATTATGGACGGCCCCTCGTACCGCAACTTTTTGTGTCGGATGATATGAGGCTCGCATTCATTCCATGCATACGATAGTGCTCTCCATACGCCCGTTCGTGTCCGTGAACGCGCACTAAGCATGTTTGGAGCAGAGCAAACTTATCTCAGTGGGTCCGCAGCGCCGCACATCGTGGTGCTGCGGTACAGGGCAAAGAAAGACGGAAATGAGGCTTCCTTTGACGTCGCAGAACAGCTGAAAGCACCAACACGTAATGGGAAGCCACTGTGCAGGCTCCTCCCGAAACCAAAGTAATGATGCAGTTTTTGCGAGGTGAGTTCAACCAGCCCGCTCAATACTGTCTTCGGGTACGCTGCATCGACGACTTGATCGTAAAAGGAATCGTATGAGACATTTGAGGATCGTCGAAGAGTGCACGTCCCTACATCGAGACCGACGTCCGTTGGTAGACGCGGTCGTTGGCTCTTATCATACGGAGATTAGTGAGACTCAGATCTGCGTAAGGTGAGTCCTACTTTGATGCACAGAGCTATAATTGGGTGTGTTCGGGCATGATGGCCGTAGTGGAGCCTGCTGTCCTCCTCATGCTTTTATCGACAAAGTGCACTTTTGCACTGAGGAGACATTATTATGGCTCAGTGAAACTCCGTGGCGGTCAATTTTGCTAAGCGTTCTGATGCCGGCGCTGCGCAGCCTGCGAGGGCTTGATAGAAGCGACAACGCTGGTGCACGTTGTGCTGTTCGATCGAAGGTATTGTTCCCTTTGATATCCGGATCGAAGACGGCGCAGCACGCAGATGACCAGCCGGGGTCGCGACCTTTGTCAGAGACATTGTCTCGTGTCTTTTCAGAAGAGGCTTGTTCGCTTCGATGTGTTTGCATTCTATTGATAATAACCCTATTGCTTCCGGTGTTCATATCAGCAACGCCAAAGCCCTGACGAGGCACGGCCTGCATGCGGACATTGCGGAAACAATAGACTTCCGCACAATCTTCCTTCTCTTTGGACACCAACTTCATGCTAGCTGCTGAGTTGTCTGTCAACTGTTCCGTGATGGCCTTGTCCTGACGGATGTCAGCACGACAGGTTGCGCGACTACTTACTCCACTGATCGTTCGCATCAGCCGCCAGGGTTATACCAAACCTTATTATTTGTCATTTCTTGAGGTTTTTCAGCAAGCGGATTTGAACACTAGTGACAACCTTAGCTTGTTGCCGTCCTACGAGCGCATGCGACATGGTGCGAGTGATCATCTCCTGCCATATAGTGCCATTGGCCATGACTTCTATTGATAGGACCTCACCAACGGAGAGTGCTGCAGACGCACTGGCCGCATGCCGGTCGACGCTATCCCGAGCGTCCCGTACGAAGGCCATATGTCCGCGTGTTGAGTCAGCCTTTCGAATCGACCGCTCTTCATTGGCTTCAGTCGTTGACACCGCGCGGCGAGATTGTTTTTGCGAGGACGCCGTTGATTTGGATGATGCAGTCGCGTCGCGGTGGCTTGGGTGTTCTATCGGCCGAGCTCGCTAAGTGCTTGCTGGCGGATGTCGTGTGGGGGTGGACTACCCCGATCAAGGTCGATATTGCGGCGCCATCAGGCGGAGTGGCGGCTTTCCCTAAAAATAGGGCGGGATTGCAAACCGACCTCCAAATAAGGAAACCCCGCCGCCTGAGATCTGCCAAGATTAGATGCCGTGCTCGAGGCGTTCCCGCTACGGGCCCTCGGGACGTCATTATCCTCCCTCGACGGTCTCAGAGGGTTAGACCACTCTACTATTCTTCCGTCTGGCCGCATGCGCTCCGCCGTGCTCTCGCACCGCTCGTGGCGATACGCCGGTGAAGGACTCAGGGTTCGAGATGGGCCTCGTGTTGCTAGCTCAGCTAGATACGGGTGCGTTTACGCTCACGTCAAATTCATGCCGTGCTTTGCCTAACGTGCTTTCATTGTCATGACACCATTCAATGTGGCCCAAGTCACCTCCGGTCCTGAAACCGGCGGCCTTCCGTACGTATCCATTTTCCTCGACTCAGGGCCTCGTGCTAACAAGTCTTCTTACCGGTACTAGTCTTATGGACTTTTCTGGCGCACAGAGTGACAAAATGGTCGCTTCCCGAACGCCTTACGGCTCGCGCGCCTGATGGGATGCCCTTACCAAGTTGGTGGCGTTGTTTGTAAATGCCTCTCGGCACACCGTTCCGTCTGAAAAAAAAAAGGACGCTGAACATTGGCTTTGATTTTTGCTGGAAAGTAGTACGCTCGATGTCCAGCGGAGTAGTGGTGTCAGCCCTTATATTTGTGCGTGACCTTGAGTCTACCGTTGCAACTCACGGAAGCAGTGACGTCTTCCTAATCTAAAGCTTCCAGATGTTTTGCCAAAAATGAGAGGTATCCAATTTCGGTGAGTTAATCTGCAAGGTTGATTACAAAACCTTCACCAATATTGAATCGTTTTTCCTCGGCTATGTGGCGTGGTACCACAATCCGCGTCAATGATCTCCCCGCAAAGTACTTTGCATGCACAGCGGATCCAAGCCGTTGGTAGGAAGTGCTGCCTCTCTGATCATCATCGGCGGCCACCATTCGGCTTGAAACCTGTAAGCCTGAAGTCCTTCCTATGCCGAATAATGCGGCTTACTCCACTCAAATCGGCCTCTAGGCGACGTTGGCTCGGGGTATAAGTAGGCACTTCAATGCTATCTGCACCCTCACTGCCTCCCCACCCCTCCTCCCATTTGTGTGGTCAGCCCCGAACGTCATGGCAGTGACGGTCTTACGCTCGCTCTCTGCGCTTGTCTCGCTCGCTGCTCTGGTCGGGCATGTAGCTGGACAGAGCGTCGCTACTACCGTCACGTATCTCCCGGCAGCTACCCCTGCGCCGGGAGTAGAGCCTTTCGCGTTTGACATCAACACCGGTGCTGAACTCCAGGTGCAAGTATCGGGCATGGATGCATCCGAGCTCGAATACACGACTGAGAACGGAGCCCCCTACATCAACCCATATGACGCCTGGAAAATCGGCTCGGATGGTAAGTGAATTCGTTTTCGCTATGATGAGCTGTGCTTGATTGCATTTTGCGCAGGTCCTCTCTTGCTTGAGGATTATCATTTGACTGAGCTTCTTTCGTCTTTTGGACGTGAGCGAATCCCTGAGCGTGTTGTCCACGCTAAAGCCGGCAAGTATATTGTCATTTATTCCGTTGAATATCATTGACATGACCATTGGTAGGTGGAGCGCACGGTTATTTCGAGGTCACCAATGCCGAATTCTGTCAAAAATACACTATGATGTACGTTGAATTTTGGCACTGTCCGCATTCTAGTTTTCGGTCCGGCTCACGTTTTCTGCCCATGATAGGGACATGCTGAGTCAGGTTGGTACAAATCACTTGTCTCCGGAATAATAAAGGACAGTTTTGTTCACAATTTGTGCTTGTATAGGATGGCCTGCGTACCCCGGTCACCGGTAAATCACACTCGCGATAATCTGTCATGAGCTGAGCTGACTGGCTACCGTCCCCTAGTCCGTATCAGCACGGTTAGTGGCGAGACTGGCTCGTCGGATGAGCTCCGGGACCCTAGAGGTTTCGCCATCAAGTATGTGAACATATTATTTGCCTCGACTGGGAATCTGACGAGCATTTTCGATAATAGGCTCAGAACCCGTAAGGGGATATTGGACTGGGTCTTCAACAGTACGAAATCTCGTGCTCCGATTTTTTCTGTATGGGACCTGACTTGTTCTCATTACAAGACACGCCCGTCTTCTTCATGCGAGACCCAGCTAAATTCGCGTACTTCATTCACGTGAGACCTCTTTTCGCATACACTCGAAATTGATCACTCAAATATTATACTCAGACTCAAAAACGGAATCCTCAGACGAACTTGAGGGACAAAGAGTACGGGATCCTTGTATGCGCATTGAATTTGGAGCTTATTGCAGTTGGCGTCGAACAGCCTCTTCTGGGATTATCTCAGCGCCAACCCTGAGTCGCTGCACCAGGTTCTGATTCTATTCTCAGACAGAGGAACACCGTATGGATTCAGACACATGAATGCTTGGAGTGGTCATGCCTATCGGTGAGTGCCCTCATTCACAGTTGTGAAGAATCGTAGCTGATTCATATTTTGAAGATGGATGAAAGCAGATGGATCTTGGAACTATGTCAAGATTTACTTGGAGACTATGCAAGGGGTAAATGAGCCGCACGATCATGGGTTAGATGTGTCGCTCATGTCCTTCCAACTTTATAGGTCCGTAACTTCACGAACGCAGAAGCCACATACATTCAAGGTACGATTATGCGTGTTTATATACTTCATTGATCAGCGTATTAAAATTATTTACGACGTCTAGGTGTCAACCCTGACTTCGCCACGCAAGACCTGTTTAGTGCGATTGCCAACGGCTCATCCCCAGGATGGACTGTCTATGCGCAAGTTATGTCCCCTCAGGAAGCTGAGAACTACACGTATGTGACGGGTGGGATATGATATCAAAATTCTTACTAACTGGTGGTGCTAGCTATAATGTTCTGGATCTTACCAAGTACGCTCATCACTTTGTCGCATTCTGATCATTAGAGCTCATGTGAACGTGGATGCTAGGGCTTGGCGCGATGTTCCCTACACCGAAATCGGCAAGATGTACCTCACCCAGAACCCAACAAAGTAAGGGCGCTGGCATCGTTTCATAGTTCTTCTGCTCACGCATTCGCAGCTATTTCGCCGAGATAGAACAAGTTGCATTCTCGCCTTCACGACAAGTAGATGGCTGGGCAGTGTCTGCAGATCCTATGCTACAAGCGCGCGTTTACGCCTACCCAGGTGCGAACAGCGGTAGTGCGCTATCATTAAAATCTAATTTAATTTATAGACACGCAACGATACCGACTGGGCACCAATTACATGGTGAGTAGTACTGATTATATGCGGACTGTCTGAGGCTTACTGGCTTTCGTCCGCAGCAAATTCCTGTGAGTGTGTATGGTGTAGTAGCAGCCTTCTTTTGTTGATGTTCACCTTTTGCCAGGTCAATGCGCCGACCGTTCCTGTTGGTGAGTCACTAACTGCTTAGACTTCGTCTCTTCAGTACTCATCACTACCGCATACAGCCAACTTCGAGCGAGCGGGTTCAATGAACACCAACGGAAACCAGGGCAACAGGCCGAACTACATGTCGACTTTGGACAGGATCATGCTTTATAACCGCACATGGACTCTTGATTCACACCAGCAATGGACGGTGAGACTAGTGTGGTCCATACTTCAACCGAAGCTGATCGTAGATCGCATAGGGCGGCGCTGTACAATCTTTGGCTGCAATGACTGAGATTGACTTTGCCCAGCCACGGCTGTTTTGGAACGAGCTCTCCGAGTCCGACCAGCAGAATTTGATCAGGTGTGTAAATTATCTAGCTTTATTTTTATAATCTCTCACGCATTCTCCTTCAGCAATGTCATTGGCCATCTTGGAGAGGTCATCAGCTTGGAGGTTCGCGAGCGCCAAGTAGCCGTGTTCGCACACGCCAATTACACTCTCGGCAAGGCCATTGCAGACGGTGTTGGTGTCACCAACATTCGCAACCTCACCTTCGAATATGGCCCGACGTGGTACAACCACACCGTCTACAGCGACAACAGCACCATAGGCTTCATCTAAGGGCCATGGTTTATGCTCTTTTATGATAGATATTCGCAAAAGTAACTGATTTGGACATTCGCCCCTTGTCGGACATTTTCATGGACTTCATATGTTTTATTAGCCAAAATATGTTTAGAGGCCTGAATGGGACTTCAATGGGATTCGAATTTAATCCTTATACCGTAGTGGGCTGATGTCACGCGAATAATCATTCATGTCTTCCGGTAAATCAGTGCAGTGAATATGGACCGAGCCAACAATTAGTAGTGACTTCACGACCGTGTATCTCGATCGAATAATTTCCTCGGGCGTAGCCTTAGAATTAGAGAAACTGATGGGTTGAGTCATGACTATGCATAGTGTACGTATACAAGTACGACGTATGATTTGCCAAGTTAAAAGCTCGGTCAGTCATATTTCGCCATTTAAAATCTGCAGTCCAATGTACTGTTTGTTTGTTTGTGAGTCTTGTTTATTGTCCTTGAGGGCAAGGCCCTATGTAGACGATAGGTACGGTAGTTTGACAGTCCGCGTGTTGTGGCTAGCAGTAATCGGAATGGAGACATTAGCTAGCTGGATGGCTAGCTGGGTACCACGTCATAAATTAAGGTTCACGAGAGGCAGGAGTGCAGGAGTGCAGGGATGTTATGTAAGAGTAGGTATGTGGCAGACTCTGTCCAACGTACTATCAGTCGGTATAAGTACTTCAAGCGAGGCTCAAGGATTACATGCGGATCACTCATGACCTTTCTTCGTATGTTATTGGCTGGTGATGGTTGAAACAGTGGGTTCGCGGACGGCGAGTATATGTGTGATTACTGATATCGGGCCGAGCTCGAGGCAAAGTCGTGGATCGATAAGTAGGGGAAGTTCGAGGGAAGTTGAAGTCTTTGTTACACCCGCTTGTTATCGCCACTACAATCTCCGTTAGGACGAGTTTGAATGGATCTACGCGACATCGATCACTATCCGACTAAGCAGGCGACGCGCAACTGTACAAATCAAGCGTCCAAGCCAAACGTGCTCTTGCATCCTCTCCTCTTATACTGAGGGCACAACCAGCTCTCCTCCCCTACTCCCGTCATGTTTTTCTACTTTACGTTCAAAATCATCAGGTATGCCGGGGAAACATTGTATAGGAGTCGTTCCGCTGAGGCCAGGTGTCGCGCAGCGCGACAGTCGCATTTCTCTACCCGGGCTATGCCTCATACAAGACCCTTTCACAGCGCCCTGCATCTGAGGAGGAGCTGGAGCGTTGGCTGATGTACTGGAGTGTTCTTGGCTGCATAGTTGCTGTCGAATATGTAGCGGAGTGGCTAGTTTCATGGTGAGCAGGCACTCACCCTTTATTGTGTCAACCGTCAGCTACAACTTTCACATGTAGGCTTCCGTTTTATTATCCTATCAAGATGATTTTCCTCCTCTATCTTGCACTCCCTCAAACAGCTGGCGCCGCTTATGTCTACCGCGCACACCTCCAGCCCTTCTTCGCAACCCACGAGTCGCAGATCGACTCTGCCCTAGCCCAGCTAAAGGCGCATCTATATTCGTCTCTCCAACGCGTCTTACGTGCAGCTTGGGACCACGTCTCAGCGACTCTTCGCCAGATGAACATGCCAGTTGGAAATGAGGCACCTTTGACTCAGGAGGCCGCGGTAAACTCCGGTGCACCCCCGACTCTCTCTGACCCTGTTTCGGGACCCACCCAGCTCGTACAAGGACTTTGGGGTAGCTACGGTCCGAGCATCATTGCTTCTGGCGCCGCACTCTTACGACAAGCGCAAGCATCCACCGCTCAAGCTGCGAACGCTGCGACCGCGAATGTAGGTGGCAGACGCGCGTCCTCTTCTTCGGCTCAGCCACCAGTGCAGCCATACGATCTGTCAGATTCCAACCCCTCATCTCCCGCTGCAGCGCAGAGCGTTCTTATGCCGTCTGCGGACCATCCAAGGCGCGATTCTTCTTCGTCGTCAGGCTCCATGCGTCGGCGTGTCGATAGTGGGAATGCGAAATCGACATTTGAGGAAGTGGAAGTGCCGAGTGACATGGAAGGCGAAGGAGTGGGTCATGCGGTTCCAGAAAGACCAGCGCAGACAAGGAAGACCAGCTGGTTTGGGTGGGGTTCGGCTAACGCTGGAAAGGGGTACGAACGCGTGAAGGATGATTAGCGTTCCTATCTGATGAGTCATTTTTGTAAGCGTCTTTCGCATTTGCTGTAAGTTGACGATTTGGTCGAGAGTCGGCCTACTCTCCGTTGCATGGTGTACATATATATTCGCATTTGAATCGCTATTTTCCAAACTAGCGCAAGATTTACCGGGCTCCAGATGCAGCAGGTTGTCCTCGCGTATGAGTGTGCAGTATATCAAGGCATCATCATCATCAATCCACCTCGGAATTGCATTTTGCTCAGCATGCCGACTGCGGACGGTTCGTCAGAACTGTAGGACGTGTCCACACTCCTTGGTGAGGATCATTCTTTTCAACGAATAGATTATATTTTTTGACAATAGCTATCTGCTGTTACTTCATCTGGAACAGAAGCTAGATAAAACAAGAGTTTGGTAGGTTCCGAACAGAAGTGGGTTCGGAGCATTCGACGACGAATCTAACCGCACACGATTTATGGGACTTGAAGGAGCCGAGAGTCAAATACAATACTAGCTCAAGATTTGTCTCATTGGCTCCTTGTGCGCGGCCGAGTTCACCACGCTGCCAATATCCAACAATATTGATCTGTTCTCCACTGGCAAGAAATAAATACGCCCTTCTTGTTCATGCATATACCGGCTCCTATATATGCAGTTGCACATGTATCTATGAAGGCGAACAATACCTCATACTTAGTTCCGTATAGTCAAGATCAGCCGCAAAATCCCGTTTAACTACACCCCTTACAACCATGATATGTGTGCATCACGCATTTGCCTTCCAGTCTTTACCTTTCTCCGTTGCCATCGAATTGAACGGGAACTTAACGATGGCCACGGTGGTCACCATCGGGTTGTCGAAACGGGGGGTTGCGTCGTTCGAAACGACGCCAGCGTAAGCGGTTCCGTGGAGGCCGTGTGGTACGACCGTGTAGAGGCTGTCGTCGACAGTGGTGAAGATAGACTTTAAGCCGTTGTACCATCCCACGTATAACTGGGTACCGGGGTTCGGGTTGTCGAATTTCAATTGTATCTTTGATCCAGGCTTGACCCACTCATCCATCGTAAGGACAGGGAGCGGCCCGATCGGAGGAGGAGGGTTCGACGAGGGACAGGATTTCATGAACTGTGCTGCATAAGAAGGTGAGCTGTCATCGCACCGTAGGCTGAGACATTGAAAGCTTACAAGCAATCGACCATACCTCCGGCATAGTGAGCGGTGTCTCGAACGCACCATCCCACGGCTCGTGCTTGAGAACGGCGGAGGAAATCCATCCTTCTTGGCGTTGTTCTACCGACAGGATAGACTGTGGGAACGAAATGGCTCGTCACCAAGTTGTATCACGAATAAGTAAAGGCGAGGCTTACCGCAGCAACTGCGGTAGTGGTGTTGTCTTGCAAGAGAGATATGGCTCCAAGGTAAGCAGCCCCACCGACGCCCTCGATGTTCATGGACAACTTGACCCACGACTTGACGTCCGTGTATGGGCTGGCGTATTGCAGAATGCAGAGTATGGTAATTGCATTCCGTACATGGTTCCAACTTCCACTTACAAGTCATATTCGCAAGGCTGAGGGGCTGCTGGACCGAGCACCTCTTGCAGAAACTCGACGTGCGTCTGTTCGTGTTCCCGAATTTGTTCGTAACGGCCCCTAACCCACGACGGGAATCCGGCGTCGCTAAAAGCCTTCTGGTCGAACTTTTGCAGTCCACCAGAATAGAAATTGGTTTCGAGTAACTCAAGCTCGAGCGCGTACTGAAGAATGGGCGTGTCTGTGAAGAAACGCGTCAACTATCATAAAGGGGCCGTCTTTAGCAGAAAGGACTGGCCTGGGTCGGGAACAGGCGCCGCAAGAATAGTAGAGGTACCAACTGCAAGGACGGCGAGGAGCTGTGCGTACATGGCTACAATGTGTATCTGAGCTAGACAAAGAGAATAAGGACAGTAGACAAAAGAGTGTGTAAGTCGAGCGTTCCGACTACGGAAACCCATGCTCTGCGGCCCCTTTTATCTTCCTGGCTTTCTGGAGGCTTGCCAGAGGCTGGATGCATCCCAAGTCAAGTGGCTGACTGGTCTCTGAGAAGGCAGTGGGTCTAGCCACTTGGTGGCTGGCGATAACGTATTAGGCAAGTCATTGCCCAGATTAGGTGAGGCTCATGACTTCAAGGATTCTGGGAAGACCCATAACGCCTCGTAGCTCAATGTATCTCTCTCATAATTGCTTCTGTAGAATTCATCCAACGTGCTTGGCTACTCTTTAATGAATAAGACCGCCACGATGTTGTAATGCAGGTCTTACATTCACTTATAGGGCATGCACTTGTTATTCACAAACCTAGTAGCTTTCATGTATGTGGCTACGCACGTATTCATGAGGAAAAGCACCTCTGTATTTCACTTCCGTGCATTCACGATAAGAACCCCCGACCCGCGATGATAGTATGTGAGCATCGCGTATCCACGTTAGCACGCCTACATTGCCATCGAATTGAATGGGAATTGAGCGACGGCAAGGGCCGTCACCATCGGGTTGTTGCTACGCGGCAATGTGTCGTTCGCAACAACGCCGGCGTAAGCGGTTCCGTTGAGACCGTTTGGAACGACTGTAGAGAGGTCGCTGTCGATAGTCGAGAAGAAAGACTGTAATCCATTGTACCAGCCCACAAATAACTGAGTACCGGGACTCGGGTTGGTGAAGTTCAGCTGTATCTTCGAACCAGGCTCGACCGAGGCGGGAAGTGTAAGGATAGGGAGTGGCCCGATCGGAGCAGGCGGGTTCGATGAGGGGCAGGACTTGATGAATTGCGCTGTGAGGGAATGTGAGCTATCCTCGCATTATGTATACAGCCAGTGCAGACATACATGCAATCGAAAACACTTCCGGCACAGACAGCGGTGTCTCGAACGCACCATCCCACGGTTGCTCTTTGAGAACGGCGGAGGAAATCCATCCATTATGGCGTTGTTCGATCGACAGGATAGACTACGGAGAAACGAGTTAAGACTAGTTATATCATGGTATGCCGAAAAACGAATGCTCACCGCAGCGGCTGTAATGGTAGTGTTGTCTTGCAGGAGAGATAAGGCTCCAAGGTAGGCAGATCCGCCAACCCCCTCTAAAGCCATGGACAACTTGATCCACGACGTGACATCTGTGTATGGACTAACAATACAATGGAATTTTATAACAGTGTCTGCCCACAATTTCAATACTCACAAGTCGTACACGCAAGATTGAGGAGCCTGTGAACCGAGCGCATCTTGCAGAAAACTGACGTGGGTATCCTCGTGTTGCATGATTTGTTCGTAGCGGCCCCTGACCCACGAGGGGAATCCGGCATCTGTGAAGGCGGCCACATCGAACTTCTGCAGTCCACCATGGTAGAAGGAAGACTCGAGTAACTCAAGCACGAGCGCAAACTGGAGAATAGACGTGTCTGTGGAGCAGCTCTTCAATATACGGCATAGCGTGTTAGGCAACAAAGGCTGACCTGGATTGGGGACAGGCGCCGCAAGGATAGCACAGGCACCCGCTGCAAGGACGGCGAGGAGTTGTGCATACATGACTTTGTTGGTGCCCAACTCACATAAACGCTGTGCCGAAAGTTGCTTTGGCGAAGTTGATATTGTGAATTGATGCCGGAGGGTTTTCGCGGCTAGATGACAGAAGGGAAAGCAAATTGAGCCGCGTCTGAGCTACGAGTAATGGTTACGACGACTTAACTGGATGGTGAGAGGGGGGGAGCGGCGAATCTCTCCTAAATACCCCTCGTCCCAGACAAGTCAGTGAATGGTCTTAGGGGACCTCCCAATGCCGAGTACCCCTACACCAGCAGCACTCCACACGAGCGATGCATCCCGAACGTCGAGGAGTTCGGCGATGTCGTCCGGAGTACGAGTGACGCGAGGGAGGCGTGGCCGCGGAGGTGTGTGCATGACATCACGCGTACTCGATCAGAGACGGCGGCGGCGGTGATCATCATGGCCTGGATGCAGAGGGGGTTCAAGTTGGCGCAGCTACCACAAGACACACTGTCAGTGGCAATGACTCACCTGCGACTCGGTCTATCGTCATTCAACCCTGGGACGCTCATCACCGCCCATTGCTCACCTTTCGAGCTCGCACATCTCTGGGGCCCTCCACACTAGTAGTCACAGCCTAGCTGGCTTCTCGGGCTTATCCTCCAACTCGATGAGCAAGCATCTTATACAGTCCCATACAGTCCCACGACTTTTCGCCGAACCCCAGCCGGCATAGAGACGGCTAGGAAAGTCGTATACTACTAGATGTGCCACGTCATCTTGATCGTACAGCCCTTCCGACTTCAGACGCACCGTCATGTCCGCTAAGAAGCATCGCTGACAGGCCTGGTCGTTAGTTTATCATCCTTAGAGGATGGTTTATGCTGAAGGTGACAAGCTGAATTTGCTGTTGGGCACTGTCATAAAGTCTGTTGGAATGATACGCATATTGTCTCCACACTATGAGGCTGAAGCGATGGGTATCAAAGAACTACTTCGAGTTCTTGTACAACAGCGCCAAACAAATGTTCGCGCGCGCACAGTGTAGTCTGACAGCGACAATTCAGTCGGGATGCTTCAGGACACTTCTCCTGAAGCATCACATTCCGAAGCATGAGAATATATACGAGTTTGTACCTGATGGTTATCTACGTGCATAATAACTGATGTGAGTCCATGCATGTTTCGTAGACATGCTGTATGAGTGTGTGCATGTTGAATGCACCCATGCAGACCTCAATCTGCAACACTCCCCCTCAAACCTTCACTAAGCCCATCTGCAATGCAAAGTGTTTGCTGGTCAACAAAGGCAGAGCTTTCTTTAGAATATCTGTGGTCATCCTTTCAGTAGGGCAGTGTTAAGGGACCTAATGACTGAGGATCAGGAGTTCAACTGTTAACTGTTTACTGGACTAATACATGCTAAGGTTCTACATGGGAACTACACTTGTAGAATGAGCCGCTATATCCGATAGCGGTTTGAGAGCGCAGACTGAGTGAAGCTAGACTTCAGACTAGAA